CAAGACTATAATTCATCCAGGCGAGGTACAAGCTCATTCAATCGTGATTGTTGATTTCTCTTTCCTTAACTTGAGGATCATTGCCTCTGTATGAGATCTTCCATGTTGTGTGGTGCATATATTGGCTATAAACTTTAGTGGTTTAGATGGCTTGCTTTTCTTTTGGAGATAGTGCTTGAGATGTGTCTTTTATTTGTTTAACCCCGTGTCCCCGTCAACATTTATTTAACCCAATCGTTGATGTATTGTTTCTGTTTTACCATGGACACAGGTGAACAGGATTAGGGAGCTTCCGCAGAACAGTAAGATCATTGCCACTCATACCGACAGCCCAGATGTATGCCTAGAACTTTGTAGTGCTGCCCGTTTCTTGTGATCATCAATCCCTAAGCATTTCTGTGATGGATTTGTAGACTGAAGGCTTTTTTGTTCATTTGCAGGTTCTCATTTGGGATGTCGAGGCCCAGCCAAATAGACAAGCTCAACTGGCACAGATGGAGTCTCGTCCTGATTTGGTACCACCTGACTCTCGCCCTGATTTGGTATCTTTTCTTATTTTCATTCTCAACCTATATCATTTTGAGAAGCTGAAATTGCAGCTTCATCTGGTGTATCTGCACACAAGTCCTAAGAAACTGTGTTATGGAATCATAGAATATATTGAAAGGTTTTCATCTTTCATAGTTCGAGTTCCCTTTTCACACTTGTGGCTTAGTAGCTTAAACTGTTTTGACAGATATTAAGAGGACATAAGGATATTGCTGAGTTTGCGCTTGCTATGTGCCCAGCTGAGCCATATGTGTTATCTGGAGGTTAGCAATATTTTGTCTTCTTGTATGTTTAAATCTTTCTAGTTTATACCCCTCACACCTTTTGTATTTATTCACATATTGTTCTGGTGTCAAGACTTTTTTGTGTGCGCATGTGTGTTATCCTTAACAATTACCCCTAAATTATTTTCCGGTTGATATTGTTGACTTTTCATGGTCTTCACCTCTTCAGTGTTCGATTTTGATGTGTGCAAGGGTCCTTGAAGTTGAGAACTGGCTTTGTTTTGTTCTGTTGGATCTTGTACATGTGAGTCAAGATAGGTCCATGCCTAAACTAGCTTGCAGATGGAGGTGACAGCACCATTTTAACGTGCAGAATAACAAAAAGAATAGAGGCCAATCACTAAATTAGGCATATTGATTACTATGTAAACCAGCTGCTAGCTAGCTTGGGTTTGGGCCTAACTTGAATCACTTGCTAAAGTTTATAGACTTGGAAGTTTTGTTGCCAAGTTCAGGGGACACGTTTTTTCTCTCGACTCAATGTGCTGCTGTGATAACTTGGACTTCAATACGAATTGTAATAGGAAAAGACAAATCTGTTGTATGGTGGAGCATCCAAGACCACATATCTGCACTGGGAGATTCCTCGAAAACTGAATCTTCTCCAGGGGCATCAGGAAGCAAGGGAAAAACTGCAAATGATAAGGATAGTCCTAAAGTTGATCCTCGTGGTATCTTTCTTGGCCACGACAGTACTGTTGAAGATGTCCAGTTCTGCCCTTCTAGGTATTGCACCTTCCCCTTCATGTTATTAAATGTTGTCTCTCTAGCATGTGTATATGTTGTTTGGACTATGAGCTTCAGTGGTTTGCATGGCCTAAAGTTTTTGTCTTGGCTAATAGTCGTTCTTTATGATGATAAAACAATAGCAGCTATCATTATTGTGAACATCTGCTGGGAACTTGGAATGCATGCTATATTTTGATATTGTATGATCTATACTTCTATCAATTTATCTTCACAGTTTATTTTTTTTTATTTTTTGAAGTGCACAGGAGTTTTGTAGTGTAGGCGATGATTCTTGTCTTATTCTTTGGGATGCCCGGAGTGGTACAGGCCCAGCTGTTAAGGTGGTGCTCTTCTCCATTTTAAGCAGATTAATGATGCTTTACGTGAAAATGAGCAGCTCAATTCTATGCACCATGTTGAAACTGGTTTATTCTTCATTTCCAGGTTGAGAAAGCTCATGGTGGTGATGTTCATTGTGTTGACTGGAACCTCCATGATGTTAACTATATCTTAACTGGGTATGATGGCATGAAATGTTTCTAAATTCTAAATAATATGTAACATGTTCTTTAGTGTTCATTTGGTACAAGAAGCCGTGGATACACTTCTTGATAGTGGGTTTAGCTATTTACACATTTGAGTAAGATGGTTTCTTTTCGTATTCAGTTCTGCGGATAATTCTGTCCGTATGTGGGACCGGAGAAATCTGGGTTCTGGAGGAGCTGGCATTCCAGTTCACAAATTTGAGGGTCATAAAGCTGCTGTTCTTTGTGTTCAGGCATGTACAGATATTTATTGTTACTATATTTTTTATGCACATTTGGTTACTGTCGTTTATTTTTTTTGTGCCTTTATGCTATAATTCAAACCTTGTGTGTTTCAGTGGTCACCTGACAAGGCATCTGTATTTGGAAGCTCTGCGGAAGACGGCTTCTTAAATGTGTGGGATCATGAGAAGGTATCTTTCTATACAATTCGTTACCATTTCAGTCATCTCTGTCATGGCCCTGCAGAAAGTTTGGAATTGGGATGGGAGTTCATGCTCCATTTGTCCCCTTCATTTCATGTACTTTTTAATAGCTTTAGATTCATAAAATTCTTTTGATGCAGGTTGGAAATAAGAAAAATCCCAACGCACCTGCTGGGCTTTTCTTTCAACATGCTGGTCATAGGTATGCTATCGTATGATGAAATGTAAAATTTTCCTTATGTGTTGTAATATGCGTAACTCAATACCATATTCCTTCAAATGCTTAATACCACATCAGTTGGCTTTTTATTCCTGTCACATTTACGAGACATTCGTTTTTACGACAACTTTAGGTTGCATCACTGTGCATTGCTTTTCTGTTTCTGCAATGAGATATTTTTCCTAAGATATTTTCATTAATTAGTTTTGCAAAATTGAAGATGGGACTTGAATCCTCTTTGAACTGGTGTTTGACTTATGCTGAGAGACACTTGTGCAATTGCAAATTTGAACTTAAGAAGCCTAAGACTTAGAGGGATAAATCTTGATTATGGTGTACTCTGTATCTTAGTTGGTAAGGCCATTATAAAGTCAGCCTGTGCTTTCTCCACCTTTGGAATAACTGTTATGGTTCAGAACAAATGGATAATCAGTACATTTGTAAGTAGATCATATTTCAGTTTTTCAATAGATTTATGCTACAGCATATGCATACAATGTTAGCTCTTTTTAGTTTCCACATGAACTGGGCACTATAATAAATTGAGGGGAAGATGTATTAGATCTTAAGGAATGATACAACTGTTATCAAAGTGATTGCTGTTGATTTTCATTGTATGTATTCCATAAATAACGTATTTTGTGATATTTTTATTGGCAGGGATAAGATTGTAGACTTCCACTGGAATTCTTCGGATCCTTGGACTATTGTGAGTGTGTCTGATGATGGTGAGAGTACTGGTGGAGGTGGAACATTGCAGGTGTGTTTCTTTATTTTTATAGTGCCAGACACAAAATGGGACTGTACTCATATTTCATTGGAATAGTGACTGCTACCATGTTGTCTTTTATCTGATATTATACGTCAGTTGTTCTTATGCATATTTTATTTGTGTAGATATGGCGCATGAGTGACCTGATATACCGTCCAGAAGATGAAGTTCTTGCAGAGCTGGAGAACTTCAAGACTCACTTGGCCAGCTGTGCTCCAAGGAGCTGAATCGTGTGACTATCTGTGTAACCCAGTCCTGTAATAACTCTAGTAGGTTTCTAATTTCTTGTCCATTTAGAATGTTCCTTTCAAATATTGGTTATATCCTCTGGTGCGGAACCCAGGCTTGTACCCTTCAAGTGCTTGTGCGACTCTTTTACCTTACTGTATCGACTCAAATCGGTAAGCTAGTGCAAACACAGCAGAGCAGAATCTCTGTGGGCAGATTATTTGGATGCTAAACATTGTTCTGGAGTCTCGTATTGGACCTAGTTGTATTGTTAGCCTGACTTGGTGACTTAATCAGATGGTTCTTCAGATAGATCTGTCCAATAGTAATGTAGCCTTGAATACGTCTGCTTGGGCTATTCCTTGCTTGTGGTATATCGTTGCACTGGATACCCCAGTGGAAGCAGTTTTCCCGCCTCTAAATCTTGTCGGATTTGAACATTTGGTCCAATGCCGCGTTGTTCTTGAGGTCGTGCGTTGTGCATCTGAGTTCATTGGTATGGTCACAAATCCAAAATATAAGTGTGCTTGAAAGTCATGTTACAACGTCACGTGGGAGCTTTAATTTGGACTATTATCCTGGTTACTCAATTGTCAATCACGGCCGATAATTGCCTCATCACCTCATGTCTCGGATGGATGCATTTAAATTGATGGGAGTCCTGTGCCCGACATGTGCCTATGAATATTATGCTGGGAGCTCATATGCTGCGGGACTTCGTCTCGGCAGCTCTACTGACGTTAATAAGTGCGCGGTTGGTTGAGTCAGGTTGACCTGCTTAGGTTCCGATCTGGCCACTGGATGGATCAGAGCAGGTCTCGCGGCACACCGGCACGTGACGTGAAGCAAGGCGCGCAGAGTCTCGCACCAGGTGGGCTGATATCACTAGCTGGACGGTCAATCCACGTGGTTTGTTCATTGCCTCGGAACGGATGTTCATCCGACTGTGCAGACTTGGTGGTGGCTCACCTGCTTCTCCTGCTCGAGCGTACGTTTCAACGCCAACTCATTGCCGCGGTTGCGTCAAAATGATGAAGCGAAATGTGCTTGACGCATTGTTCATCAGCTCATCGCAGTAGTCGGCAAGAGAAATCTCAGTACTCCAACTCCCCGAAATGCTTGTTCTATAGTCTAGAGTAGTAATCTTGTGATTTGTTCATGACACAACTTGACACGGTTTGGGTTTGCCACAGGAGAAGTTTCTGTTTTGGCAGACTTGAGACGATCAACCACTAAAATACAACAGTAAAGTATTGGATAACGGAGTATTACTAAAATACTAGTACGCTGTACACGGCATTATTTCCCTGGAGATGGAGCACCGTGGCCGGTGCAACCGACGCACGCACGCACGGTGACGCCCCTCCCTGCGTCGCAATGAATTGAGGGCTCATGGGCTTGGGGATCTCCAACCTGTCACGGTGGGTGACGGGGTGGTCGGTCGCGAGCGCACGAGGAGGCCCTCTCATACGCACGCCGTTTCTCCCATCCCCCGCAACTCCGCAAGCATTCCTCCCTCCCATCCACCACCCGCCTCCGCGCGCCGCGTGCCCTCAGCCTCCCTGTATATTTACCACGCACCAGTGCACCACGCCGAGCAGGCCAACGCCCAGCTACACCACGCAGTCACATCCGCCTCAACGCACCAAGCTCTTCCCGTGCACGTGTGGTAGGCAGAACGTGCGCGGCGATCTCGACGAAATGGACGTCGCGGCAGACGCGACAGCTTGGCCGCCGGGGTGGTCGCTGGTCCGCGGCTACTTCTCCCCGGCGACGCTCTTCCTCCTGCTCAACGTGGTCATCGGCACCATCGCGCTCACCTCCCGCGCGTCCCACCGCCGCCGCCAACACCACCACGACGAGCACTACAAGGCACAGCACCACCATGACCACCATGATGAGCCGCAGCGCTGCCATGATCAGTACGCTCCACCGCCACCCGCGCCGCTCGAGCGCACGTCGTCGGTCATGGAGCGGCTGCGCTCCTTCGGCCTCTACCGCTTCCGCTCCGGCGACTTCCCTCCCGAGTACAACCTCTCCGCCGCCGGCGCCAACGCCATCTGCGACGAGAGCGAGAAGCAGCAGGCGCAGTACACCCGGAGCCGGTCGGAGCCTGCTGCTCGGCCCGCGCCGCCGCCGGTGGAGAAGAGAGGCAAGGCGGAGAACGCTGCCGCCGCCGGCGCCGCCAGAGCGAAGGTGGCGGTCAAGAAGTCGTCGAGCTCGGAGGTGAGGAAGCTGGAGCGCGCCCCGGCGCAGGCACAGCGGCAGGTACTGCAAGTGCAACGCGCGCAGCCGCCGCCGCCGAGGGCGCCGGCCCCGGCACCGGCACGCGCCGTGAAGTCGGCGGCGAGGGAGGAGGTGGAGACCGCGCAGGTTGGGCTCGCCACCGCGAGCAGCGTGGACGCGAGGGCGGACGACTTCATCAACAAGTTCCGGGAGCAGCTGCAGCTGCAGCGGCTCAACTCGCTGCTCAACTACAACGAGATGCTCAACCGCGGCACGTAGCTCGATCGCGCGCGCGCGCTCTCAAACCGCGGCGCCGGTGCAGATGCAAAAGGCGGCTCGGCGACCCATGCGTTTAGAGTGGTCACTGTGTACGCGTTGTTTGTAAACGGCAATTAGTTTTCAATTTTGGGTGTTTTTGAAGTTCATTTATCTCGTGTATGTTCGACTCAGGTAGTACTCGAATTTGCCCGACTCGAGAGTCGTGGTAACGAGGCGCCCAGCGTCTGAATCTGTTCCGTGTATAATTCAAAGCGGAAAGTCTAGATTAAAGTCTCACTGAAACAATCAAGTATGGGATGTGTTTGGCAGAACAGCCCGTTCCCCTCTTTTGGTTAAGGCTTCAGAACGTCGTCTTCTATCTGTTTGGGCCCTTTCACCGTTTTCACGTACGCTTGATGTACCTGGGTTCAGAACTCGGATGACTAAAACCGAAAGCAAAAATAAAAGGCTGGACCATCCTCCATAAACTTTGGTAGTGAGTTAGTGGCTGCGGCCAATCGCTGGTTAGGCAGGACAGGAAAGCAGGCGAGACTCGAGAGGAAACTGAAGAGGAAGGTTTTCGTTGGGGTCGGAGTAGAAAACTCCGAATCCCTTGCACCCAGTTCCCTAGCCTATCCAGTTCAACAAACGGCCCAATCGTTCTCATGGTCCAAATAACGGCAGCCCATCTTTCGGGCTGCATTGCTTGTCACCGAAATAACCGGGCCGCATAAATAGCTTGGATTGGGATAATCGTTCAGCTACAGGCAGAGTGCAGTTTCTCATAAATCGCGGGTAAACGGAAGCCGGAGGAGCTCCGGCGGATGAGGCGGCGGGGAACAGATGCTGCGACCTGCTGGCTGCTGCTATCTGGTGACCCATGGAAGCGATCCAACTCGGACTAATCTTGATACGGGTCCAGAGCTTTTCCATGTCCCGGCTTGGTCGACGCGAGCTTTTGCCACGGAAAGGAGTTGTACGAGCTGTTGGATGAACGGTTTGTGTTGCGTAGGACATTTTTTTTCCAAACAGGGAGCTGTATCATATATCATCATTCACCAGCGTGAGCGCGACTAGTAACCAAGGCCCGCTCCGGCTGCTTGCATGCAAATTCAGTGTACCTGTTCGGATTTGTCCTTTAGAACCAAATTGAAACGATCATTATCGTCTCTCGGTTTCCACTTCGAATCTTCAACACGAGCTTGCTCAATTGTATGGTTCGTGACTAGTACGATCGATGAACATCCAGTCACGAACGCATCTGACATACGGTTCAAATTCGCATCTACTCGCCGGGCCGGCGAAAGCCGGCAGAGTTTTATTAAGAAAGGGAGAGTATATAGTGCAAGGCACAGATTACAACTTAATTAGTTAGCCACATCTCTGTCCGAAACAACACAATTCGCATCTCTACTCGATCGAGTATATATGGTATGGGCTCGTCTGAATAATTGTTGAAATCTCTACCAACTATACAGTGGCTGCTGAGTGCTGACGTCCTCGTTCTCATATTTCCGGTACCAATCTCGCCGTGGCGACAGCAAGCAAATTAGCAAAAGACCATCGTCCTTGATCAACTCCGGCGGTAGGTACGGGCCTGCGGCCAATTCAGGGAGGCGAGACTCGAGAGGAATCGTAGGCTAGGCAGTCAGACGAGAGAAAGCTCGGAAATATGGTTTTGGCGGAGTTCGGAGAATAAAACTCCGAACCCCCTGGAACCATACCAATTGTTGTTCCTAACCTCCATTGGTTGTCTCTGATATAACTGCACCGGCATAAAAAGCCTATAATGCTATCAAGGATGGTAATTCCGGCACATCTCGATCGCCTGGATTGGATCAGTACAGACGGTTCAATTCCCAGACCCTAGAGTCTCACTATGGTGCTCTCTACTACTACTACTGGTAGTAGAAAAAAACTCATCGGTTGATCTCATTTGATCAAAGGATTTAAATCTATTTGTACTACCACCCAATTAGCGGTAGAAGAAATGTGGAGAGATATTATTGTAAAAAGAAAATGTGAAGGGGTATAATTGTTATTTAGTAGCGATGGACATTTTCTCTCTTTTTTAAGCTTTTTCGATGGAATATGACCGATGCCAGTGGAATGGATGACCACAAATTGATCTAGATGAAATGTAAATGACAAAAATTACCCCTAATCACTCTATTGGTAAATTACTAATTTATCCTTAATAACAAACGGTTCAGATCATTTCTACTTGCAGTATAATACTAGCATAATATAATTTTATTTTGTTTCAGTAGCATGTTTGCCTAAACTATCCTGGAAACGGAATGCAGTCACTATGGGGCTAGCTCTATCAGCTAGTACTGATTTGGACCAAAGACCTGAAGGTAGTATTTTTAAGCAGATTCAGGAGGTGTATAATCAGTTTGATTCTTGTTCAATCTCGGTCTACACAAGATCATGTCACAAGGTAGCAGATTGTTTTGCTGCTTTATGGTGTTAATGTGCTGCCGGTTAACGCACGGGAGTTCTGGTGCAATACACACCAAAGATTTGTAACGGTCCAAGTAGTTAATTGAAGCCTCATTTCAAAAAAGAAAGAAAGAAAGAAGTTTGCCTAAAAGATCTTAGAGAAAGAAAAAGGAACTCATCCGAGGAGAAAAACTTGACCAGGAGGCTCAATGAAATGAGTGATACAATGTGGGAGAAATTGGCGGCTCACCGATTCGTTAAAAAAAATATGGGAGAAATATCGTAATCACGGCATCACCTTTTCTATCTTGCTGTCTTTCTTTGCATTGGATCTTACACCACTAGAAGGCAAAGTAGTCAAGAAAGGAGGTCACGCATTCCCTTCTTTCTCATAAACAAACAAACATCTCTTTTTGTGCAGGAGTATATTTTTGTTTATGTTTCATCTTCCATCTGGACTAACATAAATTTGCTGGACCAATGGTCGGTAGGCCTCGAAGGCTAGACATGCATAATTGCATATCAAGATCTGGATCTTATTAGCAAAGTGACGAAAGATCAGATCAGTCCAAGATCTTCCCCTGTCATCTGCTTTCTGCGTCGCAACAGATTTCCTGTATTATTAATCGAACCAATGCATGCTTCCTGCATCGTCGCAGAATGTGATTCGAAGCAAAGTTATGGCTGTCATGGATTGGTCAATCAAGGGAAAGGAGATGGCTGTCGTCGAACCTTTGGCCGGCCCTTCCCCGGACCAACTGCAGCAGCCGAATCAAATTGCTGTCATTCATGCACTACAAGTAGTACTAGGCACTACTGCTGGTGTAGGGTATCTCGTACTGTTTTGTGCCATGTTGATGTTCCTAGAATTTCATCTTCTGATCAAGTATAGATAGCAGGAATCTTGCAGAAAATTCTCCGCAATTTCATAATTAACAAACAGCCCAAATCTTTGCAGGAACTAGTAGTAATCTGGATAGCTTCTTGCATCCACATTATTTGCAGCTTATAGATTATTCGATCATGAGCAACACTGGAGCCTGCACAGCCTGAAGCCCGAACAGATCGAACATTGTGTCATCGAGTATCGATCTCAGCCTGTGGAATCATGAAACTTCATCCAGGCAGAACAAATCTAGCGTGTTAATTAGGTGTACTCGTTTGCATCTTATCCCCTTCAAGAGAATAAGACTAACATTATGTCACTCGACTAATGTTTGGTTATTACTTATTAGTGTTAGTAACGTCACCGATATCGACGTGCAAGAAATTGTCTTGTTAAGCCATAGGTCCGGCCAAAGGTGGTTCAATCGAGTACTATAGACTACTAGTACGATAGACAGCTCTTGGGGAGGACGGAGGATACTCTGTCAAATGTCAATGGAGGGATGATCCATGTTACTATGTCGTGGTCTTACAACTCACCGGTTTGACACGTGTCAGAAACAGACAAAGGAGATGACAATGAGCAAGCAACGCTCAATGTTGCCATCGTGTCTTCTGGCGCCAAATGACGCCGTAATACGGCGGGAAATTTCAAAGTAGACACTGTTTTGCTGAACTCACCAGTCTCCCTAGACCAATACGGACATGGATTGACAATTTCTCTCGATTCCCGAAGAGGTGAAGAGAGAACACGTTTTACACATGTACTAGAAGAACACATCACCTCCTCATATCTCAATTTTATCTCCATACCTGAAGCAACATGGATCGCCAAACCGGCAAATTAAGCCATATCCAACCACGTGAATCACACCATTGTTTGAGATGAGCAACGCAAATCGTGATCACAAGGGAAAAAAATTGCTACGTGGTGTGATTCGCTCCGCCGCGGTAGTGTTGCAGCAGCCGGTTAGCCTCGCGCACGCCGCTCAGGTACGCGGCGTGCGTCGTTGAGTAGTGCGTGCGGTGCGTCGCCTCGCCGGCGAACAGCAGCCGCGGCGACGGCGGCCGCTCGTCGGCGGCGGCGTCTGGCCCACGTGGCAGCGGTTCGGCCATGCGATCGAGGTCGTCGCCGCTCGATCCGACGGCCACGTAGCTGTATGACCCGAGGAAGAGCGGGTCCGTGGCCCACCCGCTCCGCTTGATCCTCCTCACCCTCCACCGTGGCGCCGCCGGGAGGAAGGAGTCCAGCGTGGCGTGGGCCCCGCGGATGACGTCGTCGTCGGGGAGGGACTCGAGGTGCGCCGCCTCCCGGCCGGCGAACCACGCCAGCGCCACGGTGGAGCCCGCGTGGACGGGGCAGATCGACTCCGTGCCGCGCATCCACCACGGGATCTTGGACACGTGTCCCCGGAACGCCATGTGCAGGAACGGGAAGCCCGCCGCCGCCGGCTGCACGCCGGCGACGTCCTCCGGTTCCGATGGCGCCACGGCCTCCACCTCCATGAACAGCTTGTTCACGACGCCGAAGCCGAGGCGCGCGACGGCCTCGCGCTTGAAAGGCGGGAGCGGCGGGTCGAAGGCGATGGCGGCCGCGCCAACGCCGGCGGTGTCCTTGTTGCCGAGGCTGGCCTTGAGGACGCCCAGCGAGACCGTGAGGATGACGTGGTCGGCGGTGAGCGGCGGCGCGCCATCCGCGAAGTGGAGGCGGACAGGGGTTCCGCCCCACTTGAGACGGCGGAGACGGAGTCCGAGGCGGACGGTGCCGGGCGGGAGCGCAGCGGCGAGGCGCTCGACCACGCGGGAGTAGCCGCCGGGAATCGTGACGTGTTCGCCGGGGAAGTCGCGGTACTCGCCCTCGGCGGTGAGGTCGAGGTCGCCGAGGTCGTCGGCGGAGGTGTCGGTCCGCTCCCGGTTGATGTGCATGGCGAGCAGCGCCTCGTCCACCTCCTCAAGCTCCTTGCCGCCGCCGCCGCCGCCGCCGGCAGACCGCGCCGCCTGGTACGCCCGTAGGCCACGGCGCAGGTACTCCTCCACGCCGCCTCCACCACCAGCCTCGCCGGCGCGCGCGGCCTCCATCATGCCCCTGTACAGCTCCTCGATCGGGCCAGCCACCGTGTCCGCGTCGACGACCTCGCCGCCCTCTGCGACGGTCAGCACGCGGTCGGGGAAGCCGTCCATGCGCTCGTACGGGAGACCACGACCCTCCTCCTCCCCGAGCGCGCCGGCGTCGCGCGCCAGAGCGTACACGGGGCTCCCGACGACGCCCTGCACCCACGTGGCGCCCATCTCGACCCGGTGGCCGGCGAACTCGGACGTGAGGATCCGGCCGCCGACTCGGTCGCCGGCCTCCACCACCGCCACCTCGAACCTGTCCCCGCCCGCGCCGCACAGCCGGTGCGCCGCCGCGAGGCCCGATATCCCCGCGCCCACCACCACAACCCTCGGCTTCTTCGCCACCATCGCGAACGAAACCGCGCGCACGGGTGTGCGGCTACGCCTTCTTCGTCGTAGCAAAACCCAACCGCCTGCGCGCGTCGATGCAGCCAGAGCCAACCAACACTCCAGCTGTTATAAACGAGGAGCAGACAGAAGAGTGGAGCAACGCAAGCAAGTTGACACTTGACATAGCTTAGGTGCGCAACAGCCAACAGCGCAAGCAACGTGACGGTCCGGCTGCATTTGAGCGCAAAGTGTCGTGTTAGCGCGCGCGTCGCGCACGAGTCGTGGCGTACGTTCGTGCGCGCGCGCGGTTGGGCCATGGAATCGGATGCGGTTGTGTTGATTTCGAATGGGATCTTCATTCTTAAGCTGCTGCGAATCTGCGAGTTGTGGTTTCCTGATTAGTGACTGCTACGGCGGATAGCAATCCGCATACCGGCCGGTTTCTCTGTTAAAATGCTCAATGATGCATGGTTACGTTAGACACACATGCACCGGGGCCCTGTGGCGGCTTTAATTTCGTCCTAGTTGAGTCGCCGTGTACCGAGCCGGGCACCGCCGCTCGTGCAACCACGACTCCACGAATCCATGGTTGGTTGGCGACCGGGCGGCCGGCTGGATGATCCTAGCGGACTCGCGGTAATCGAGCTACAATGTGCAGGTGCATAGTGAAGACCTGCTGTTTAGATCCAGTGACACAAGGACCGAAGGACGGACGGTTTGTCTACTTGTCTTCGTCATGGTCATGCATGCTTACTTTCTCATCGACGTCTAGACTTGCGTACGCCAGCTATAAAAGACTCAGCCTCCGAGGCTCCGAGCCTTCGGTCATGTTTAAACTTGCTAAGCTACGGAGTGGAGTCCTCCGTATATATGTAGACTGTTCTTACATCTTGTACGACATGAGTAAATCTGCTGCCAATTATTAAGAACATGTCTTATTCTTCACATGTCACCACAGAACAAATTACTCCTACTTACTGTAAGGACTAAATCTGATGCCGATTCTGAAAAGAAGAGGGGAAAAGTAGGAACATGTCGCACTGTTCACCTCATCGCGTTGTCACTCGCTGCTGAACCAGTGTTGCATGATACTTACAGTTATAGCTAAGTTATTGACGTTGTTTGCATGTACAATAAGTATATGCCGGGCACGGCGGCTGACAAAGTTGCTAACTCTCGGCTCTCGCATCAAAAGAAACGACGTCGACCTTCTTTGTCGTTTAAGAAGCCTACAACACCCATCTGTGTCGGATGCTCTACTCGATTTACCTACTCGCTGCTTCTTAACTTGCTTAATTACCCTGCAACAAATTAATTACTCCATAGTCTGTGATGATAAGTTTGTTTAGTTATAGTATAATCGTACGTAAACACATTTTAAATTAAGCAGCTTGAAATGCACAATGCTTTGTCTTTTATCCAAGTGGCGCTTCTGATTTTTTGAAGAAAAAAAAACATAATCGACATTTGTAAGTATAGGAGCCCTATCCAAAATGTGGAACTAGCGCGTACTAGTACAAAAGTAGTACTACTCGGTACAAAAAATAAGTACTACTGCCTTTGTACCTAAATAAGTACAGCTTAGGCAGAGTTTAGTTTCAAATTTTTTTCTTTAAACTTCTAACTTTTCTGTCACATCGTTTCAATTTCATTCAAACTTTCAATTTTAGCGTGAACTAAACACATTTTTATTAACGTTGTTTACATGTACAGTAAGTTATAGCTAAGTTATTATTGTTACTGTTACTTTACATTTTTTATTATCATATAAGATCAAGTAAATTAAACTCGAAACATCCCTGCAAGGCATGCATATGTATTACATTGTTCATACTGTAAATTACAAGCATTATAGTAAGAGAAATTTTACAATCCTTGAGAAAAGTATCTTAAGATACCTAAATTTTACATAAAAAAATTGTTACATTGAGGTATTTAGTATCTAGATATATCAAATTTTGCACTAAAAAAATATGATACCTCTATGTATTTTTTCAAAGATGGTAAAATTACCCTTATACTAATGTACTAAACTTTGTTGAATGAACAGCACAACAAACTAATGCTGCAGTGTATGCAGACCTAAAAAAATAATGGGCCATGCAAGTTTTTAACTTAAAGCATGTCGCGTTGGCTGGCGCTGGTGGGTTGGCACATATGAGTGGATCTAACGTACGTGCAGAGAACCTCAGGTCCTCGATAGTCCATACTCCACTGGATCCCTGTGAGGAAGTGAAGAGGTGGAAGGGGAAAGAAGGGAAAGGTAAAGAAGAGTAGGGGTTTGAAGGGGAAAGAAGAAAATGAGCCTTCTCTAACCTGATGCTACTCCTACTGTACTAAGGCTGTGTTTAGTTCGTGTGTCAATTTTTTTTAAAGTATACAGATACACATTTGAAGTATTAAACGTAGACTAATAACTAAACAGATTACATATTCTGCCTGTAAACTGCGAGACGAATCTATTAAGCCTAATTAATCTATCATTAGCAAATATTTACTGTAGCACCATATTGTCAAATCATGGCGTAATTAGGCTAAAAGATCCGTCTCACGATTTACATGCAAACTATGCAATTGATTTTTTTCCGTTCACATTTAATGCTCCATGTATGTGTCCAAACATTTAATGTGACGGAAAAATTGAAAGTTTGAATAAAAGAGTTTGAATCTAAACATGGCCTGATTGTCAGTGGCTCAGTGTGACAGTGTGTCCTGGTCACCGTTTTCGCAGAAGGGAAAAAAAAAGGAAAGATGAGACCTGGGTACTGTTCCTTCCTGAAGATCCGAACAAATACTTGCTGGCACGAATTAAGAAAAACACACGCATGTGTGGTCGACAGCGCTGCAAATAGCATAGCAGTGGCTCGCAACAAACTAGATTTGACTTGACTCGGCTCAGTTAGGGAAACAAGCTAAAACTTGAGTTCAGCTCAGCTCGTTTTCTGGCTCGCGCCAGTCTAAGCTGGCTTGCAAGCCTTTCTGGTTGAAATACTTCTTCATATATATTTTATAATCATTAAAAAAACAAAAGTAACCCCGCAAAAAAAACAAAAGTAAAATTTAAATAAGTTTATACATTCAATTCTTCAAAATCTTAATGATAAATTGTAAGTTGGCAAATAATAACTCTATAACCAAATAAAATAATCCATATAAACACATAATCGCCTAGACACATGAGCCAAACAAGCTGCTCACGAGCCAGCTCGGACTTGGTCAATTCAGCAATGAGCTGAAAAAAAGGCTTGCGCTTACCAGCCCACCGAGCCAACCAAGCTCGAGCCAAGCCTGAGTTGAGCTCACGAGCCCAAGCTTTTTTCCACCCCCAGCAGCAAACCCCCATAAAAATCATGCCTGCCGTCCCCCAGCATCTCTGGTTCGCCTTCGGTCCAGTACATAACACTAGCCTAAAAAATTGTGGCACGCCTAAGGTTTGGTGTGGCATGTTAGAGTTCGTCTATGTCGTAGGCAGCAGCTTTGTAGGTTCTGAAGATGTCGCTCGTTGGCGAACGATGAACAACAGCTTCAGCTTGATCAAGGCACACCAGCGGTGCTGTCTTCAAGGAGATTCACGCCCTCGCCGAGGTGCACGAGACGGACGGTGGCTCTCCTCCAAGATACAATGATCTCGTATCCTCAGCCGTGCACTCGACCAAGAACAAACCAGCAGACTTTCGTGGGATGTAACTCTCTCTATGCAAAACAAGCCGATGAATGTGGGCAAAAACTTTGTGTAACAAATATAGCAGCAGTACGTGGCTTATATAGCCTTGTATAGAAACAAGAAAATCTTATCTCTAAGCCGGATAACAAACAATCAATAGATTGATTTTCGCCGGACTGAATATCTAGAATGATAAAGACTTTATCTTCCACGTACAGCTCAAACCAACAAGACCAAAACTGAAAACCAAAATCTGAAGATAAGGCAAAAGTTCAGATATCTTATCTGAACCAAACTGACGAATCACTGGTACAAAATGAACAGAACCAAAGAGATAAAATCTGAACAACCATCAAACATCATTTGTGACTTTCATTCAGATATAATCAGAAGGAAAACCACCTAAATTCCAACATGGCATACTGAGGCCACCAGCCAAACAGCCCCTTACTCCCGCAATTTGGTCAAAGTCAAATTGCTTTTTGTTTGTAGAAAAAAGTAGTACTCTCTCCATTTACTTTTGATAGTCATATTTCAACTTGGCACACAGACCAAAGATAAATAATTATACTTATCATCTATTTAAACATGCTACTAGTCATTCCTCGTAAACAAACGATTCATTAATATTTACATTTCTCGATACCCATGTAGCCAATCTTGTGTGGAAGAATGGAGAGTCACGCATTAAATCCGAGAAAGTCATTAATATGATAGGTTGTTAGATTGAAATATACCTATCAAAAATAAAATTTTCAGATTTGATAATATGACTATCAAAAGTAGATGGAGGGAGTATCATTTTTAACCCAAGACAAATATATTATAAAAATATATTTAATTTTAGATTTAATGAAACATGTTTCGTGTTATAAATATTGGTATATTTGTTTACAAATTTAATCAAATTTAAAGTAGTTTTATTTTGACCAAATCAAATTGACTAATAATTTGAAACCGTGAAACGGAGGGAGTAGTGTCTGAGTATGAAATGTCACTTGACATAAACGTGCCACACATCTTACTCCCCTACATCAAAAGAATCAACACATATTACAAGGGAGAAAGCAGAAACCACATGAAACTCACACAAAAGAACCATGAAGCATCATTTAACTAATATAAACACGCAAAGTTGCTTTAATATATATTATAATAGAATACACACCTAAATCTAATAGTCTTCTAAAGAAGACGGTAACTAGCAGTGCCCTATTTCTAAAGAGGGCACAATTATGATAAACTCAAAGAAACCTTCTTCGGTATACTTTAAATTAAAATTGATACCTTTTCCTATTTCAATTATTTTGTGGAGTTCAGATCAGGATTTGAAATGAATTCACTATTGGTGTTGGGTGTGGGCTAAACTGTCCCATGTGTTCACTGCTAACCCTATCTCGGAATATAAGGTTATTTTGGCTATACGTCTACTTAGAAGGGTGGGGGGGGGGGGATGCTGCAATTTTTTTTACTTGGACTTAAAAAGAAATGGCAATTTTTGCTTGAGCGTTGTAGTTAATATATTTTAATTCCACTTTGTCTTGAGTATTTTCTACTGTCACTGTTCTAACTGCACGACATTGTAACCCCAGACTCAAATCATGGCTTGCCGATTTGGCTTGTCAGCCTATCGGAACTAGGTGGTTGCTGCAGGAGTTTACTATGATAACAACAAATAAAAATAATATGTAAGATAACCTAAATAATATAAACTTACATAAGTTGATGTGAATTAAATTTATATAGCATGTAGAATGATGATTCAAATGTAAAAGTAAGATGATTGTGGATTTATGAGAGAATAGAAGAATGAAGATAATTTAGACTATACATCTATGGGCTAGAAAAAAAGAGATGACATGGTTTAATGAGAGAAGAAAAATAGCATGAACTAAGTGAGGATGGACTATATTAAAATATTATGTGAATTATGTGGAATGATTTGACATACTTACATTTTAATTCTCTAAAATTTAATAAATTATTAAATTGTAGATAATATAGCATGCTTGTATGATGTTTAAATATAATAATTATTAGTGGATGATGATGTAACATCTTTACATGTTAAGCTTTAGGATTAAGAATAGAGAAGCCCCGATGGCTGGATACGTCTGCAAAAATGCCTCTACGCATGTACAAATGTGTTGCACAAATAAATAAAAAGAACGGGCGGTTTTATTCTCCAAAATCAAAATAATCAACACATATTACAATGGAGAAAGCAGAAACCATGAAACTCGCCACAAAAGAACCATGAAGCATCATATAACTAATATAAACATACAAAGTTGCTTTAACATACAGTGGCGTAGCTAGGAATTTTTCATTGGGCAGTCCTATTTCCCATGGAGGATGAAAAAATTTAGGTGTGGCCAAGTACCTGGTAGATAGCAAATATAATAATGCAAAAACAAATTATACTACGAAATTTACAAAATTTGTCCTTGGTCGTGCCTACTTATGCTACAATTTTTAATATCACCATACAATATAATATGCATTTACAAAATTGTTAAAGACCACCTAATTCAAATAAATCATCGTAATATAAGACACCATGATAAAAAAAAAGACAGCTAGCTCCAATCTAATCGTATAAACAAACACAAACGATTTTGCTATATATTTGTCGACAAATTTTTCCTCAAAAATTTGACAGATGTAATTACAGTACAATCGTAGTGTAATTACACTGTAACTTGCATGTAATTACACTGTAACTATAGTGTAACTTGTATGTAACTTTCAAAAATCTCTCCGTAACATGTTATTTCGGTAAAATGGAGGTCGTGGGAACAAATTCTTTCATATATGTGTGTGCTATGATTTGTTTTCTTCCTCACCAAAACAAATCTTGTAATAGATCTAACGATTCAAAATTATGTGAAACTTACATATAAGTTACACTGTAGTTACATGCAAGTTACAGTGTAATTACATATAAGTTACAGTGTAATTACACTACGATTGTACTATAATTACATCTGTCAAATTTTTGGGGAAAAATTTGTCGACAAATGTATAGGTAGTCCCAACTAACAAGTTTAAGAAGCATGATAAGTATGTATAGTTTGTTTTGCAAATGATCCATGAATTTTGATAGTAGGGATTAAGGTCTCTATGCTAAAATCTAGGGTAGTCCTGTGCCCATATGGACTATAAGCTAGCTACGCCACTGTTAACATATGTTCTAAGAAATACACATCTGAATCTAAAAGGTCTTCTAAAGAAGACAGCAACTTAAAGTGCCCTATTTCTAAAGAGGGCACAATTATGATAAACTTGAACAACCCTTCTTAGGCATACTTTGTTCAGGCTAGGGCTGACATCCTTCCTGTTGTAATTCTGTTGACGTTATTACTATCAGGGAGTCCCATCGCATATTTCACAATTGCTACAGTCCTAAGGAATGGTGCTGCAATCCACATCAATATGAAGAAGGGCTGCATGACTACAATTATGGACAGTGCCACCAACATTTCGTATTCCTTGATAGCAGTAACCATGCCAAAAATGTAGAGAAACACTGTCGTAGCCATGTATAAGGTCTGCAAAGAAAGAAATAACAGGTAAAGTGAGCGACCATTCACTGGGACTACAAGATAAGAAATTCTGGATGCAAAGAAAATTATACATGATTGAAGTACCAACAAAACAACTAGCACTAGATAATAACAAGGAAAAATTGGTTATACCACATCAAAGATTTTAGAAAAATGATGACACCCAAACTTCCTGGTGCACAATAATAATAGCACCGAAAGATGATGAAATTTAGCATTCTGTCACTCCATCTGCTGGCCTAATCACTGGAGTGAGTTAAACTACCAACTAAATAAGATAGCAATATGAATCAGCAAATGACAATGGAAATGCTCCTAATTAAGTCAGACCCAACGACCCGCAACTATTTCATCATTTGGTTAGTTACCGAATTGATAGTACGATTTCTTCTGTTTTAGAATGAGAGATAGAGTGCTTTAGGTTCCGACCTGAATATGCATCATCTATAATATATAATAAACTACTTGGCGCAATTCTAGGTTCATGCTAGGTGATGGTTAAAAAGTAGCAAACCACAATCAATTCCCACAGTACTAGGCAGTAGGCACCAGATAAAAATTTGGAAACTCCCTTTTCCTCCTTGAGTCGATCCATAGATTGTCCGATGAAACAAAGGCAGAACCAAAATTGTAATCTTGCAACAGCATATATATAAATATATATATATTGCAAGGAGGAAACAAAACACTTACGTAAACAGCTCGGATGAAGGCAGCCAGTAGAGGATTGTTGACGACCAGGCCATCCGGCGGAGCGTAACGTAGCCCGCCGAATATGCGGACTGCTACTGCGGGCTTCACCTTCTCGCAGATCGGCTTGCCGGACTTCATCTCCGGCCGCCGGCTTATTCCTTGTTTCTTTCCAACACTCTGCTTCCTCTCCTCTGCTCTCCTCTTCTTGCTGTGTCGCGGCGGATGTGGTGTGGTGTGTGGGTGGGGGATCCGATCGATCGATCTATCTATATCAACATATGGAGAAGAACAGAATCGGACACGGAAACCGACGGACGATAACGGACACGGACGCCGGGTCCGAAACGGAGTTCTTCCTCCCCCGGCCTGGGAAGCCGTCGATGGCGATGATGGGGAGAATTCGGAGAGATTGCGTTTTGAGGAAGAAGAGGAACGACGCGGGCGGCTGGGACCGGGATCTAGTGTTTACCCCTTCCTTCTATACCCTGATCACAAATTGGGCCAATGGACGTGGGCTTCCTTTACGATTTTGACAGGGAATAAGTTTACTTTAGGTCCCTCATTCTTGAATATAACATGTTGTTCAACTTGCGAAAACCAAGATATTAGCACGGATCTCTTCTTCTTCATAGCTGTAGGCATCTGACATGCGGGCCAGATATATTCTCTCTTATCTACTTCTTCTGTTTCAGGTTATAAGATGTTTTGATTTTGGTTAAAGTTAAACTGCTTTAAGTTTAACTAAGTTTATAGACAAATATAATAATATTTAAATTACCAAATTAGTTTTATTAAATTAATAATTAAATATATTTTTTATAATAATTTATCTTGTATCAAAATATTATCTTTTTTATAAACTTGGCCAAATTTAAAATAGTTTAACTTTGACCAAGTCAAAAACATTTTAAAACCTGAAATGGAGGGAGTAGAACCATATAATTAATGAGTATGGTTAGCTCTTGTCCCTTCTCTCTCCTATAGAACCTCCTCTAAATACAACATTGTGTTTGCCTCTAGAGCATCTCCAAGAGACTAGCCAAATGGCTCTCTAAGTTAAATTTTAGCTAATTTGGACAAAAAAATCTACTCCAATAGACTAGCCAAATGGCTCTCCAAGCCATCTAGCTGGCTAAATTTCCCACCTCACTAGCCAAAGTTGGCCAGCCAGGACGGCTGGCCATATGATGTGGGTCCCACCCCTCTCTCCTCTCTCTCCCTCTTTCCCCATCCCATCATGGCTCCCTTCCTGCCCGCCGCCCATTCCGCCTAGCGTCGTCGCCGTCGTCTTCCCGTCGCCGCCGCTGCCATCCTCCCGGCGCCGCCGCCGCCGTCATCCTTCCGGCTCCACCGCCCTTTGCCTTCCCCTCGACTCTCCGAGATCTGGAGCGGGGCGGCGACGGCAACGGCGACAACAACGGCGACGGCGACGACGAGTCGGCCCTCCGCCTGCGTCGCCAACCTCGAGGCGATGGCGGCGGGCTGGGGTCGGGGGAAGGGAAGGTAGCCGCCGCCCGCGCCTACGAGGGACGCCGCCGCGACTCCGCCGAGGCCGCCGCCCGCGCCTACGACACCGCCGCGACTTCGCCGGCGTCGCCCCTCCGCGCCGCCCCTTCGCCTGCGTCGCCCCCCGCCGGCTTTTCCCTTCTCGTGGCCTGCCGTTGGTGATGTAGTTGGGAGGAAAGTGAAGGGGGAGGAAGGAGCGAGAGACTGACATACGGTCCCAGTGTCATACACTCAGAATAGAGAGGGTGGATGGAGAGCCTATTGGAGTGAGCAACAGGTTTAACTTGCTAAATTAATTAGAGAGTTAGCTATATAGGTATTTGGAGAGTGTGATTTGGGTAGGCTGTTGGAGATGCTCTTATATCACGGGACCGAGGATCACTCGCCGTTCAACTCTGTCGTTGTGCTGCGTTGTACCCTGCTACTGCTGACGAAACCAACGACGACGTCTTCATCGCCGCGGTGACCAGCTCCAAGCTCTTCTATGATGATGGCGCAGGCTCCGAACCTCCGACCTCTACTCCCTCCTCCTCTAGCATACAGATTTTACGCCTGTTTAGATTATAGCTAAACTAAACCTTACAAAGTTTTGGTAATGCTGAAATTTTAGCAGGATTTCTTATGCATTCATCAAATTTAGCAACAAACTAAACGTAGATATTTTTTTAGGGTTAATTGGATCCATACCATTATAAATATGGCATATTAGAAAAATATCATTACAATTCACGTATTTGGAACCATGCCACTCCCGTCACTCTTCCATCTTCCTCTTTCACATCGTCACCCTCCCATCATTAATTTAGCCAAATGTTGCATAGCGGGTTTGCTAAAGCTCTTAAGCATATCATCTAATTAATTATCACTTTCTTCATCACTAGAATCATCATCAAGAGAAGTGTGAGAGGGCTTTGAGTCATCACCTTGCGGCCTTGGGCCATGAAACATGAGTAGTGGTAGGAGTCGTCATCGTCATCACTCAAGTTGTTGAAGAGACGCTCCTTGCTTGAAGAGGATGACTTGAAGGCGATGGTAGCAACACTACCCTCTCCTTCAACTTTGTCTTTTGGCTTGGGCTTGGGCTTAGGCTTGGCCTCGGAAGCTTCTTCATCTTCGGAGTACCACACCTCCGCCATGTGTGCCTCCGCCACATGAGCACGCTCCGGCTTCTTCTTGCCTCCCTTAGCCTTAGCTTCATTTGACTTGGGGCAATCGGCAATGAAGTGGCCATATTCGCCACAATTGAAGCAAGCTCTCTTTGATTGCCTCTTTCCCTTGTCATCATCCTTCCTTCCTTTCCCATAGCCACTCTTGCGAAGAAAGTGCTTGAATCTCTTGACAATAAGAGCCATCTCTTCATCTTCACTTTCTTCACAACTTGACTCTTCTTCTTGTTTTGCCTTCAAAGCCACTTCTTGATTTTTGATCATGGCGGCATTCTTCACCATTTGCCTCACTTCACGAGCTTCCTCTTCTTGCATCTCATGAGACACAATTCTTCCAAGAATGTCACTAGAGGTGAGCCTCTTGAAGTCTTTCCTCTCATGTATCATTGATACAAGAGTGGGGTTCCTTGGACCAAAAGCACGGAGAAGTCTCTTGACCACAAAGTGATTTGTCATATCCTCACTTCTAAGTCCTTTAATCTTGTTGACAAGAATCATCATCCTATCATACATCTCTTGTGGTGTCTCCTTGTCATCCATCACAAATCTTCCTAGCCTTTCTTCCAACAATTCAATCTTGGCCTCACGAACGGCGGGTGATCCCTCATGAGCCAATTGCAAAGTGTCCCATATCTCCTTGGCCTCCTCAAGTCCATCCACTTTGTTGAACTCCTCCGGACTCAAGGCGGAGAGAATTGCATTGGAAGCTTGAGCATTGCGGTGGATGAGTTGCTCTTGCTCCGAAGTGAGCTCCATGCCATCATGGGGTACATCAATACCTGTACAAACAACTTTCCAAATACTTGGATGCAAAGAGATTAAATGCCACTTCATCTTGTGCTTCCAAGCGGCATAGTGTGTCCCATCAAAATGAGGTGCACGCCCGGAAGGCACGGAGACGAAGTTATGAGAAGGAACATTAAGTTTGCTGTAATCAAAGTGAATAGTAGCCCCCTTTGATGCAATCTCCTCGGTGCTGGAAGCGTCTCCCTTGTCCCCTTCATCTATCTCTCCGTTTCCCTCTTGATGCGACATCGGATCACTCCAAGCGGTGAAGCTTGAATCAGGAGCACAAGGCTCTGATACCAATTGAACGTGCTGATGAAGCCTAGAGGGGGGTGGGGGTGAATAGGCTGTCCCTGAAAACTTAAAAACAAATCACAGCGGTAAAATTCAAACAGACCCTGAACTTCCTAGTAAGGAACACCGGAACTTCCGGTCTGCCAGGCCCGGAACTTCCGAGTAACAGAACAAGGATGAAATTCAAATTTCGAAACAAGAGACTAAGCCAATCTTCACAAGATGAAGCACAGGTATTCTAAGCAGAGGATAGATCACAGAAACATCCACAGAAACATCACAGAAAAGACAAGAGCGATTTTTCCCGAAGTTCGGATCTTGCGATCCTACTCTCCGTTGAGGAGCTCCAAAGAGCTAGGTCTCGATTAATCTCTTGCCTCACTTGTGCAAAAACCCAGAGGAAATCCACAGCTTTCAATCGCAAACACTCCTAGGCAAATTTCTAGAATTGAGTGACCACCAAGATCGAACTCAACCAACTTCTAGAAATCCGCCACAAGTGTAGGTTGCTCTACTTGGAAAGCCTCTAGAATCTCAGCACAAGAACTTCATTAACTTACCTCGTTCCCTTTCGGAGGAGAGGAGATCCTTCACAAACTTACCCGGGACATCCACAATATGCAACGGATTCTCGCGGGCGACACCTAACCGTCTAGGAGATCATCTCCAAGAGTAATAAGCACCGAGATGACAGCCCACGAGATATTCCAAGTGCTCACCCAAGATCCTAATCTTCACACCTCTCCAAATCTTCTTCTCTCCCTCTCAATCTCTCTTTCTCACAAGAATTAGGCTCAAGATTGAGTGGAGAAGGCAAGAAACACTTGGGAGAGGCTAGCAACAGCTCTAGGGTCCAAAAGTGAAAGTGGAATGGCCAAAGAACGAGCTGGAAACGAGCTGGATATGTATAACGGCTAGGTGACGTCATCTAGCCGTTACTCACAATTTTGAATTGGAAACTAGACAGGAAGTTTCGGACCTGGAAGACAGGAACTTCCGGACTACACTTAGGAAAATCTTTTTCACAAGACAGGAAGTTCCGGACCTGGAAGACAGGAAGTTCCGGACTTGCATTTTTGGACAGATGGAGTATTTGCAAAAATAACTCCTAGGGAAACTTGTCACTTGGTTCAACCTAAGAACACTTGACATATCTTAGAGCACCACCTGGAACCCCCCTTAATAATACGGTTTTTCCTAAAAACTCGATTGCAATAAATAAACTATCCTATGCACTCCTCGAGTTCCGGTCTGCTTTGATTTTATACTTTTGGGGGGTCTCCAAGCATCCATCTTCCACACCTTGGACTAATGCACCTAAAAGTAGCTCAATAAACTCATTAGTCTCTTAACCACATTTATCATTAATCACCAAAACCCACTAGGGGGATTAATGCACTTTCAGTGGCTACGCCGGCGGCTGGACGGAGGTAGCGCGGCGTTCGCAGCATGGACCCGAAGGCGACAACATTGACATCGAGGGCATGGCGCTGCTATAGCCCTGCTTCTGGGGCGCGCGGTGGCAGCCGTCGGAGGAGGAGGCGGCCAGCCGGCACGACGAGCCGCCGATGCTCGCGCGCGGACAGGCTGGACACGCTCCGGCCGTACGTGACGAGCGCCGCCGCCGGCAATGACGCCCTGCGGATCGACCCTCCCGCCGAGGATGTGTCGTTGCTTCCATGCTGCCGCGCGCTGGTCGCCGTCGCTGAGAAGGACATACTGAGTGAACGCGGCCGCCAGTACACCGCCCAGCTTCGCGGCGGCGGTGGTGGGCGCGAGGTGACGTTGGTGAGTCGGAGGGCGAGAACCACTACTTCCACCTATACCGGCTGGCGCGCGCTAGCACCTAATGGATCGTGTCGCGGAGTTCATCTCGGCGGCCAGTTGCCTTCAGACGGAGGAGCTTCATCTCCATGGCAGCCGCCGCCGCATTTTTGCATCATTTCCCCGGCGATGGCAACACTCCGGCGGCATCATCAGGTGTTCCCACACATCAGCTCGTCCTGTCAGGGGTGCTTTGGCGTGAGGCGGTACATCCTGCGCCACAGGAAGACGCAGCAGGCCCCGACCCCTGCGCACGACCGTGCAGCGCCACCCCAGCTGAGGTGCCGCACTGGCCCGCGCCTCGCTGCGCCGGCGCCCTCGGTTGAAGAAAATGCAACGAGAAAGAGAGAAAGAATGAGAGAAAGAGAAAAGATAAGGAAGAAAAAAGAAAAAAAAATTGAAGGGTAGAACTGTACTTACATAGGTGTTTCTCTCTCCAATTCCTCCAAATATAATAAAATAATCCGACGGGTGTCCAACAGCTAATTACTGGGTTTTTGTGGTGGCCTTTAGCAAATTCACGTTCTTGTGAGTCCACCAGCTAATTATACATATTTTGGATATCCTGTAGCAAATTTTGCCAAGAAGGAAAGGGGCAAAGGGACAACCTTCACTTCCCCTTCTTGTCTGTAGTCTATAGAGTCATGCATCTTACTCGTTTCATTAACGTGGCGCTTAGTTTCTTGAAAGAGAAAAGACGCGGCACTCGCGCTTCTAGCACAAAAGATAACTTGTATGCAGGGAACTGGATAGAGTGACAGATAACGTTATATGGTGGAGTAAGGGTCCTCTGCAGTACTGCAACGAGGATTTGAATTGTATAAGGTGTGTGCAGCACAAAAGTATTTGTTTTTATGAGCAGTATGGTTGGATATTATGAAGTGGAGGCTATATTTTTTTAGAGAACGTATAGCGGTAGATATCACCCATGGGCATCAAAGTAGGTTTAATAATATCGTCAACTTGCTAGCTGTAAAACATCCACATCATCTATAGTCTGTTAGTATAGGCTGCTCATATAACAATGGTCTTTATTACTATCATTTACGATAACAACTGATATATTTTTTTAATTGATATGGGTCTCACTAATTACTGCATTCTTCACTGTTGTTCCAAGTATGAACCAATCTCCATCAGACTTATTTATTTCTTCATTGTACAGCGTGCTACAGCCGGGCGATAATTATATCGTCGGCTCGCATTCTCTCTACCATTCTCTCCTCTAGCACAGCAGTGAAGCCAACGTGTCGTGCTATCGCCAGCCCAGTTGGTCTATTAGACATGCTCTCACATATTGTTAGACAACGTAAGACACGATGACGATAACATAAATATCTGAAAGGTTTTTGAAACCTTATCTGGAAGGGAAAAATTGGTGTGCTCAGTTTATGCTTCTATCATACATGTTCAGGTAGAAGGCTGTTTTAAACAGAAATTATATCTAGGAGACAAGGCACACTTAAAAGATACTGGATATGAAAGGAGGGGTCACATATCGATATTTATTGAGATGTGGTGAGGCTCGAACCTAGTCGACTAACCCACCTACTTATGATGCCAGGACTCATTTTATTCTTTCTCAAGAGACACTAAAAGCAGAAAGGAAAAATACTACTTTCTCCTAACAAAACAACTCATTTTATTCCAAAGAAAAACCGATAAATGACATTGTTGTAATCTAGCTCGCTCCCAACTCCCAAGCTCCAGCTACTTCACAAGCATATCAGTTCGACGCCACCGCTCTCGAGTCTTTTTCTGATGTGGTCTTCAACAACTCACGCAGCTCCGGCTTTACATGTATCAGGCCTAGAAAGACAACCAATGACACACTTGAAAGATCAGTGTATTGGAGTTAGATAAACTCAATTTTCTGAAGATGATTGTGTGTCTGTGTTTTTTACTTTCTGTATTTTCATTGGACCCAACAAATCACTCTTCAGCCAACAATCATCAAATTTATGTCTTTTTTTTTAAAAGAAAGCTAGCGTGATTTTAACAAAGCTCGGCGCACTTAGCCCCATTATTCTTTTCAGGTTCTTTTCTGATTTTTGTCACGGATTATCTGCTTCACGCTTCTTAAAAATACAATTTCTTTTAAAAGAAACTCTTAGAGCATTATTTAGGTCACTTGTTTTAAGTTATTTACAAAGTTTTTTAAAAAATATTAATTTATCATGTTAATCAAGTAAAGCAAAAATTAGTTTCAAATACTATGAATTCATACATAATGCGACGCGCCGAGACAGAGAGCTAAAAGTAAACAATATTAATTTTCTATCGTTCATACATACTATCTAAAAAAGAATCTAGGACTGTATGTGACACACTCTAGTGCAATGAATTTGGACTTACACACTCTAGTGCAATGAATTTGGACTGAGGTATATGTAATATTAGGATGTGTCACATCCAATATTAAGTAGGTTGGTTTTTATGGTACGAAGAGAGTACTAGATTGCCACTGAATTTGCTTGTTCTTGCTCCTGCCAGCCTATTTTCATGTCACTAGTCAATTTATTTTCAAAGGAAGCCAATTTACCAATAAATTTAAAAGGGAAACTAGCATTACTTTTATGACATTTGAAAGTTCTTATTGTATTTCGCGATAATTCCGCATTTCAGAGTAACCTGGAGTACACGTGACTACTTACAATATAGAGCGTCATCTGCGCTCATATACTTCATTTTACTTCAGATTATATCGCATATGATTCACTATTACAATTTTTTTTTTCTTATACAAACTTGTCTCGCCTTTAATAATTAACCACATTGCTGTAAAGCCTGTAATAGCATCATGCATCATCACTTCTATTGATATGTAACAGACTACTTATTTACCACAATTGCAAAAGTAAATGGTTTGATCATGTAATAAATTCACTTACACACAAAGCAGTTGATCAATCAATCCAGACAGAAGCTTAGACCCTTTGCCCGTCTTCTTATCCTCCTTGGCACTGCTGGAGGTGGCCACGGCAGCGACGTCGTCGTCGATGATCTTCCCGGTCACCACCGGTGGCACGGGCAGGTTCTCCTCTGCGGGCCCCTCGAGCTGCCATTCCCCGTTCTGGCCGAGCACCATGCCTTTGTTCCTCTCCACCCACCATGACTCCGGCACAAGGTTGCTGTCCTTGAGGAAGCCGCTCGACTTGTTCACCAGCGCGACGCTGCGCTTCACCTGGAGCTTGAACTCGCCGTCCTTCCCGTTCCAGCCGGCCACCGTGTGTAGGATCCCCTGCAGGTTGTGGTAGTCGCCTGGGCTGGTGTCTCGCTTCACGTAGGGCGACTTCTTGGAGTCGACCTGGAGGGTTTTGCCGACGTTGGCGTAGCCGAGGAGGCCGCTCGGGTAGAGCGGGATGAGGTCGGGCATGTTCCTGACGTGCAGCGCCCGCAGGTTGGGCTGCTCCTCGAACTGCTTCTTGAACTCCGGGTTCCCGATCTGCGGGCTCCCGAACACCACGGCGGTCACCGGGATGTGCGCGCCGTCGCCGACCTTGGACACGCCGTTGACGACGATATCGAACGCGCAGAGCGTGGCGAGCGACGCGCCGAGGCTGTGCCCCGTGCAGACGACGCCGAGGCTCTCGTTCCTGTACCTCGCCACCAGCTCGCGCACGGCGGCGAGCATCTGGTCGCGGGCGCTGTACTTGGAGAAAGGGGAGCGCTCGTCGGTGGAGCTGTAGATGAGGTACCACCCCTTCATGACGCGCGACCGGCCGCGCCCCGGGTGCCCCTCGGGGAGGATGTCGTCGTGGTCGACCAGGTCCGGCTTGAGCACGTCGACCCACTCCAGCGACCGGATGGTGCCGCGCCACGCGACGTAGATGACGCGCTGGCCCGAGGCGGCCGCTGCGGCGTCGTTGGACACGGCGACGTAGCCGATCCAGTTGGACTCCTTGCTCCACGCCTCGCGCGACATCGAGTACACCATGCTCCCCGGGAACGCCGTGGCGTCGGAGGTGGCGTAGAGGTAGGCGGCGACGGAGAGGTCGCCGGCGGCCGGGAACTGCGTGCGGTCGAGGAGCGTGGACCTGGAGAAGCGGCAGGTGCCGCAGTACTTGGAGTGGGAGTCGGAGTTGAAGGAGTCGTAGGTGACCTGGCAGAGGTCGCCGCAGAGCAGGATGAGGCGGCGCAGCGTGAGGTCGAGCGGGTCGAGGAGGCCGTCCCAGTGGGCGGAGCCGAGCAGCTCCGGCCACGGCCGGGAGCCGGCCCCGACGTTGCTGGACAGTAGGACTCCCTGGCTCTTGTCCATGTGCGTAGCAGCAGCGTGCTGAGCCGCCGCTCGGTAAGGTGCCGGGGTCTGCGGGGTGTGTGTGTGTGAATGTGTGAGGAGAAGAAGATTAGGTGGAGTGTGTGTACTGGGTTGAGTGAGTCGCGCGGGAGCGGATATAGCGAGCGGAGACTGGACAACTGGAGGAGAGTGACCGCGTGAGTGGACTGGTGGGCGCGGGAGAGGTGCAGCGTGTGATTAAAACCATTCGTGTAAACTGTACGCGGCGGCATGGCATTAACGTCGGCCGGTGACAGTTCGGGCCCAAGGCCCGCATAGCGCTTTCATTGCACCGATGTAAGTATAGTAAAATTGAGTTTACTATAACAAATGTACTGACATGGACATATTTAAACTTTGTAAATTTGATTTAACTCATGAATATAAAATTTGAGTTCATGGTTCTTCTTCTTCTTACTGGGCACAAACCGCACATACTTCTAAAACAGTGCTACTGCTTTCTTTGGCCGAGTTTAGTTCCAAATTTTTCTTCAAACTTCCAACTTTTTCATCACATCAAAACTTTCGTACACAGACAAACTTCCAACTTTTCCGTCACATCGTTTCAATTTCAACCAAACTTACAATTTTGACGTCAACTAAACACACCCTTTGTCTGGAATCTTTTGGCGATCTTTCGAGTTCCGACTTCCAACTATAGTACTCCAAATTTCCTGCAAAAAAAAAATATAGTACTCCAAATTAACTCCAAACAAGATGGGTCCTTTACTACTATTCTTCGGAGGCAAAATCCTATCAAAACCGATGTGTGGCTTCCCCTAGTTCATTATCCGAACGCCCATTATCAGCCGTAGGACAGTTCCAACTTGCCACAGACAGCGATAAGGTAACCCCACAGACAGCGATGAGGTAACCCCGGACGATCGACCAGGATCAACGTTACACACTAACGACCCCAGGAGCACTATTATTAAGTCTCATCCGCACTGTCACTATGGCCTAACGGACAATTATATAGAGCAGTTGAAAGCAACCAAACAAGTGAAGTGATCAGAGACCTAGAAGAATCTTGTCCTGCCGTGTCCTTCAATGAGTTCAATCACCAACGGAGAGACCTAGAAGAATCTTGTCCTGCCGTGTCCTTCAATGAGTTCAATCACCAACGGATTAATCGGAGTTGGTATGTGAGTCCCAGCCGGTTGACACCAGACAGACAGAATATTCTGAAAACTAGCTGGCACCCCGCGCGTTGCTGCGGGTGCAAACATAGCCCACACGTAGACATAAGCATTACATATACCATGTATAATTGCAAATATTTTGAATCAAATGGACCAACATTAGAAATCTGATTGACCTTCTCATACATTGATCACTGTCCCAAATCAGACTATCTTCTTTTTATTAGCCAATGAGGATGGAAATTTTAACAGAGAAAGATTGGTACAAAATTCTAACATCAAACTCAATCCAATGTAGAGCGATCCTTTTAACTTAATAAAGTGCTTCTCACTATGTTGCTTACAACTATATTACCAAAATTCTCTTCACCCTTTTCATGTCAGGATTTGGCAATAAACACTGCATTTTTTTTTTTGCGATAAGCAATGATACTTATTTGAAAGAAAGATCATGACTCCCAACTGCAAGATATGCATCGTAGAATGAATTGTACAAACCTCACCTAGCCCTATCCACCATACTATGGTGCTCTCACCATCACAACCATTATACTCTGATGTTCTCACCCAGCTTGATCTCCTGAACCTAGAAAGCAACTTGATCTAAATGATGTCCATATCCAGTTTTGATTAGAGTATTGAACTTTACCGAATCTGTCAGCTACCATCCAGTTCTGCTATTCAGGGAACATCTTGAACTAAAACAGACAGTAATCTTGATAATCTACTGGATAATAACAATATATGATTTCGGTCTGGACAATGTCTTGATGGCTTCAACTGAAATGAAGCGAGAAGCGTAGAAGTAAGAGTAGGAAGTAATACCTAGCAAATATTACATAATTATTTCCACTCGTCCTGGGCAGCCTGTCCCTGGCCTGAAATGCTATGCACAAAGAAATATATTAATACAGATGTACAGTAAAACACCGCTGAAGAATCCTCTCTTTTAGTACATATTAAAGGTTAAATAGATTTACAAATGGTCAGTCCAAAACATAACACCAGTGCTTGCCCGGTAGGTAGCAGCAGATCATGCAGAAAACAGTCATGGCCTCATGGGAAACGTAAGACGATATTGCGCTATATTATAGTTTTCTATTTACCTGAGGCAGTCCTGAGCAATGTAGCACACTGTAGAACACAAGAAAAAATTGACAGTCACTGAAAATCTCAATTTTTGATGGCCACAAGATATTGTCACCTTGCATTTTCTTGGCAACTTTGTAATGTAGTGTAGTTCTTAACCATAAGCACTTGCTGAATGCCCTAAAAACAGGAAATCATATACAATACTAACTTTACAGAGAGTCGGGTCTATTTGCTTCACACTAAATCTAACTCAACTAACAACGAACTAAAGTACAGTGGGAGAACATAGATGTACAGAAAGAACATCTTAGTTGTCATAGCAAGGAAGATTGTCCGGTATCGAAACTTGGAAAATCAAGCACTCTTGCAAATTGATAACTGATCAGAGACCTGCAATGCAAACAAAAGTTAGGTAATAGTGAGAAATTGATAATTGTGATTACCCTAAGGAGATGTAGGCAGACATACCAAGGACCAGATGCAGATGGAAATTGGATCAACTTGCGCCTTTGCTGATCATAGTGTGGCAGCGAGCTGACAAATTATGTACAGCCGATTCATCCATTTCATCGAGCATAACAAAAGCATACATAAATTTGATGTTCCTGAAAAACACCTAAAAATCACAGACACGTTATTACCTGCATTTTCAAGAGGTAAAACTCCAGGTTAGAGGCTTGGAGCAGTGCAAGGAATGGGGAATCGAACCAAAAGCTAAATGCGAAAGGCACAAGAGGAAAGTAACAGGTGCAGGCACCGTGGTACCTGTGGAAGAGGAGGCAGCGACCGTTAGGCGCTGAACCGATAGGAGATGAGAGGTCACCGCTAGCGCGGATGGAGTCATCTGCTAGGTGCCCACCGTGGGGTTGGGCCCTCTTCGCCGCAGCCCCGAATGGCGCTGGGGGCGGCGCCCCTTGCCGCTTGCCGCCTCGCCCGCTCGAGCTCATCGCCGGAGAGGGTGAGCCAAGGGGAATGCGGTGTTGAACCGGGCGTTGTGGCCGGCGTCAATGAGATCCACTGGAACGCTGCTGCCTGCCCGATGGACGCTGAACGACAACCAGCAGCAGGCAACCCCACAGCCGTAGACAGGCAGAAATTGTGGGGGAAGAGCGAAGGTTGGAGATGAGAAAAGGCAGTAGCCGGTGGAGCGATGCGGGATCGGCGGCGGCTGCAGGAAGTGCGGGATCGATTTCTCCGCAGACGGGCTGGCTGGGGAAGTGAGGATTGATCGATTGGGGATTGGGGATTGGGGATCAGGAGGGATGGGGATTGGGGAGACGAGTGGATGAGGATGCACAACTGCACAAGCAAGCAGGCGGACGGCCAGATCATACCAGCTCTCAAAGATCCAACGGCTCACGCATGGCATGGAACTGTTACCCTGTAGCAGAATGCAGCGTTCTCGCGTAGGGTGTTACTGTGGGCAGGAAAACTAAAGATTTAATATGATATGATATGATATGATATGCACGCACAGAAACCGTATAAAACTCTTATGTGCATATGGGCCTAAGGCCCAAAATGGTGGTTAACGTTGGGCTTCAAGCCCAACCAAAAGCCGAGGAGGACTCCGAGTCTCCGACTAGGCCTTGGCCATGCTGTAGTCTGGACGGCGGTGCACGTTGGCCAACGTGCCCAGACGCTTCGACAAGGTGGGGCCCACAGGAACAAATCACGCTGTCACGCCGATCCGGGCCGTCCGATCCCGCCACGTGGACGACGGAAACCCCCTGGTCTCTCGAACATGGCGGATCAAATCGGGGACGAGACGACGACGCCCAAAACAAAACCGCTAATCTGACTGGAAACCCAGATCGCCTTCTTCGCTGGGGGTGGGGCGACGAAACTTGCGCGATCTCCCCTCTCCTCTCCTCCGCTCGAATCTGCGGTACGCACGCCTCCCTCCTCCTCCTCCTCCTCCTCCTCACTCCTTCCGGCCCCGATCCTATAGCTCCTCCGCTCGCCGCGGGGATCTGCTTACGACGAGGCCCGGCACCCCCGCCGCCGCCGGATCGTGGTTTGGCGCTTCAGACCCGTGCGTAGCGTGTAGGATCAATTGGCGCTCCACGTTCCCCGATGTTGCCGAATTTTCAGAGTTTGTTGGGTAGATTGACCCCCGCTACCTCCACTGTGGAGGTATGCAGAGCTGCCCGTGCGAGGAGATGGGGTTTGTCGATTAGTGTTCTGTCGAGAGCGCTAGGACTAGGATCTTCGTAGTGTTGTTGTTTAAGAAGTGAGATACAGTACAAAGCTCGTTTCTGCCTCAGTTCTTCTAGGGAGCTTACATGTAATGATCAATGTGTCTGAAACATGATTTTTTTTTTCAGAGATGTAGGGTTGGTTTTTGGACTAGAAAGGGTTCTGGTGAAGTACATATGATTCGATTGGCGATGTTCTATCACTGCCTTTTATGTTTTTACTGCTTACTAGAATAGTAGCTCATGGAGCTAGATCCTTCTAGTATTTCCAGAAAATTGGAACAACATAATCTTTCTAGAGTTAATCTTTTGCTAATTCGAATAGCAGGATAGTGTTTGCCTATTTGGCATATCTACTAACTATACATTTCACCTTGTAGTTGATATCAGCTTTAGCTTTGTCAGCATCTGATTGATTTTAGATTGGCAAAGTATCTGGCCTTTGTTGCTGGTAATTTAGGAAATATAGAAGTGACAGTTAATGCCATGAATTTGTTGTTTTAATTTCTAATCTAAATCGCAAAACTAAAAGAGAAGATAAGTATGCGGCCAGTGAAGAAAGGGTTTAATGGTGATGCATACCCCATTTATCTAGGGAACTTGAGAAAACAGATACACGACAGATTGTCCATAGAATATTCTTCTGAGTATATTTTATTGACTCAAATACTTACCTACAGCAGGCTTCTTCTACAATCTCAAACATGGTTGTTGCAAATGGTAATGTCGACACGGAGGAAGGAACTCTTGAGATTGGGATGGGTACGGATCTTCTGCTTGATTCACAATAACCATATATGGACTGAGTCTAGCTTGTAAGTAGCCTAGTATTGATATTGTTGAACTACTCACACTTTGTAAGTTTTTCTTTTAAAAATGCAGAGTACAGGACAGTCTCTGGAGTTGCTGGTCCTCTAGTCATTCTTGATAAAGTGAAGGTAATCATATCTTGTGATGGCTATTTCATATTGTTTTACATGCAAATATAATTTTGATTATTTCAGATCACATTCACATTCCATATAATGTGTTGGTATTTCAGGGTCCTAAATACCAAGAAATTGTCAATATACGATTAGGAGATGGCACAACTAGGCGTGGTCAAGTGCTTGAAGTCGATGGGGAGAAAGCTGTTGTTCAGGTATGTACATATTTGTTTCACAGTGGCAATAAATAATTAAGATAGCATGCATTCTTTTAACATGTTGCCAATTCATTCGTGTGGTTATATTGTTATTAAAAAAAGTTGATTCCTTCTTCATCACTTATTAATATAACTGTTTTTCAAAATTCTATTAGTATATTATGACAATTTGATTGGAAAGCAGATGGTGTACATTGTTTATGCAATCTTTTAAGCATTTTACAGATAATTAGCTGAATTGCCTGTATTTTGTCAGAACCATCTTAGATGGCAGTGATACAAGTATGACTAACACAAATATTAAGTTTACAATTTTTATATTTCTTATGGTAGTATAAGCATCACCGAGCAGTGGTCTTTACTTTTGTCTTCAGGTTGCCTCAAACTTTTGAGAGTAATGTGAACGTCAGTCTAGATGTTATTGTGCAGTTGTTACCTACCTGTCTCTTTCACTCATGAAACTTTTGAAATCACTGGCAGGTTTTCGAAGGAACATCTGGTATTGACAACAAATACACAACTGTACAATTCACCGGTGAGGTAATATTCTTTTTCCCCGTGAATTTGTGCTAATATGTAGTGGCACTGTTTAAAATAGTGACCCGGATCTCTGGCATTCACTAAATAAAGTTGTCAATCCTTGGATTAGAAACCGGCTGGCCCCCCCACCATTAGCCATTGGCTTGTTCCCACATACAGTGTTTTAGTCATTGAAATTTTCGAAGTGGTTCACTCTTAATTTTGTTCATTCTACTTTCCTCGTGAACTTTTTTCAGGTTCTAAAAACTCCAGTGTCACTGGATATGCTTGGACGTGTCTTCAATGGTTCTGGGAAACCTATAGATAATGGCCCACCGATTTTACCAGAGGCTTACTTGGATATTTCTGGTAGGTGCTAGCTGCTTTTGATTATTCATAAGATTTGATTATGGTGTAAATCAAATGCTTAGATTTTGACATCGGGTTTGCTGGTGCAGGAAGTTCTATCAATCCCAGTGAACGAACATACCCTGAAGAAATGATTCAGACTGGGATATCTACAATTGATGTTATGAATTCTATTGCCCGTGGTCAGAAGATCCCTCTGTTTTCCGCTGCTGGTCTCCCACACAATGAAATTGCTGCTCAGATTTGCCGTCAGGCTGGTCTGGTAAAGCGTTTAGAGAAGAGTGACAATATCTTGGAGGTATTTTTGTCTAAACTACATAATATTCATCATACCTAACTGGAGTACCATTTCCATGTTGCATTCTGGGTACTGTAGCAAGCTATAGGCATTACTTCTTACTTAGTTCTTGCAGTAAGTAGCCATAGATAATTGACAATAAGCTTGTGATCTTTGTTTCTAATTTATAAGAAGTGACTAAATATATTTGATGCATACTTAGTTTGTCCTACATGGTGAAGCTAACCGTGTTATGGATAAGTAGTCATAAATATGTAACACTAGCTACAAAAAGATTGTTATCAGTCATTGCAATTTAGTGCAGTTTTCTATTCTGTTATTGCTGTATGCTGAATAACATTTTGACATTCACACTTCTTCCTTAATATTATCTATCTAATATAACAATTTATTATAGAGTTCCGAGGATGAAAATTTTGCGATTGTCTTTGCTGCTATGGGAGTAAACATGGAGACAGCACAATTTTTCAAGCGTGATTTTGAGGAAAATGGTTCAATGGAGAGAGTTACCTTATTTCTTAATCTGGTATATCTGCATTACCTTTGTTCTTTCTTTTCCTTCACTATGCTGCTCTAAGGAATTTGCAAGATCTATAACTTACTCCTTGATTTTGTATTTTTTGTTCATAGGCAAATGATCCAACTATCGAGCGTATTATCACCCCAAGAATTGCTCTCACCACAGCAGAATACTTGGCATATGAGTGCGGGAAGCATGTTCTTGTCATCCTGACTGACATGAGCTCATATGCCGATGCACTTCGTGAAGTAAGGGCCTTTATCTTGCTATATGTTATTTCCTAGTGTTTACATTAGAAACATGGTGGGAATTCTCTGCTATCACTTTGAGCTAAAATGGACGTTTTGAAAGATGATAATTCTGAAAAATGTTGTCTTGCCTTACCTGTTTGAAGGGGGAAAACGAGCACAACATAGGTTTATACAGAGAACCTAGATGGTTAGATCTAAAGCAAGTTATGATCTGTTGTTTGTTGTGCTCTAGACTATTTTGTCTGTCATCGATGAGACGATGATCGGTAGCTAGGTATCGTATAATTACATTAACACAGATACAGAGTTATTCTATTCACTATTGCAGGTCTGCAGCTATACTAGTTATATGCTTCTCGTTGTAAATTTAGATTCAGAAATATTGGTTTGAGCTAATTTGAATAACTAAATAATATTGTATCGAATAAATGCTTTAATATTGTTTTTCTACATATGCTTGCTCCTTTTTTTTTTTTGAAATCTAGTCCTTTTAATACCACGGTTTATGCTGATTTCTTAAGTATTATATCATTCAAGTCACCTCTACTTACCTTTTCTCTGTCTTTCCTCACATCAGGTTTCTGCAGCTCGAGAGGAAGTACCTGGACGGCGTGGTTATCCTGGTTATATGTATACTGATTTGGCAACTATCTATGAGCGTGCTGGTCGCATAGAAGGAAGAAAAGGATCAATTACGCAGATACCCATTTTAACCATGCCTAATGATGGTTAGTTATTTAAATGTGCTTACATTTTATGATAAATCTTTTTGCGAAATTGCACTTTTCCTTTTTTTAATTTGAAGTATGTATGTTAATTGCACAGAAAAACATAGTGAATCAGTTTTATTAATAGAATAAATGTTACATGGATAACTGATATTAGATGCTGCCGGCAACTTTCTGACTCATAAGTCGTGCTGTTGTAGATATTACACATCCAACTCCTGATCTTACTGGTTATATCACTGAGGGACAGATCTACATTGACAGGCAACTACATAATCGACAGGTATTCCACATTTCCACAGTTTCCTGCTAAACTTTGTTTGATGACTTCTAAACCGAAAATTTGGATTCCTGATTACGACAAAAGAATAAGATAAGACTTAATTAGCTATTTATAGTAAAAGCATAAATAGTTGGCATATAAAAAGTTCTCTCTGATCTTATTGCTGATTTCAATTTGGCAGATCTATCCACCGATTAATGTCCTTCCTTCACTCTCCCGGCTCATGAAGGTAAGGTTTTTGGCAATAAAGAAAGCTGCCGCACTCTACATCCTACTTTAGAGTTTTGCAGGGACTGACATCGTCAATATAAGGTTGATAATTTGCTTATAACTTGACCGGATCTCTTGCAGAGTGCTATTGGTGAAGGCATGACTCGCAGGGATCATTCTGATGTCTCGAACCAGGTCGGTTGGGCGTTCATAGCCTATGTTCTGCACAAACTACCTTAACCAAGTATATATATGGAGTATTTACTCGGATGTGTTTGTTTCAGCTGTATGCCAATTACGCCATAGGCAAGGACGTACAGGCGATGAAGGCAGTGGTTGGAGAGGAAGCGCTGTCATCAGAGGACCTGGTAACCCTCATGCATGACCTGACATTGTTATTCTTAAACTCCTTAATTATTTTAAGTTTTAACCTCCTAATCAACTGATCTATGAAAAAAATGACAGCTGTACCTCGAGTTTCTTGACAAGTTCGAGCGGAAGTTCGTGACACAAGGAGCATATGACACACGCAACATCTTCCAGTCGCTTGACCTCGCCTGGTCACTACTGCGCATCTTTCCCCGAGAGCTGCTTCACCGTATACCAGCGAAAACCCTTGACCAGTATTATAGCCGTGATGCCTCCCACTGATCTGCAAAGGGTCGTGTGTAATAAGAAAAAAAACCATCCCGGACTCCCACTTCTTCTCTTTCATTTTTGCCACCAATGCATTCATTATTTTTTGTGTAAAAAACACGAATTATCTAGTGATGTGGGCTTCCATCATTGTTGTCCCAAGCACACCATGTATCATATTTATCTTCTTTTTTGGAAGAAAATGTATTATTTTCTTGCCGTGGAAAAATGAATAAGTGAGGACGAGTGAGCTAGGGATTTGGTTAATGTAAGAACACAATGAAATAAGCCATTTGCCTCATGGTTTTCGCCTGTCAATTGAGTTTCAGACCCTCTTGGCTTCGTGTCTTTGTGCACAGAGATGTTTGTGATTTAGCCCGTTAAGATCCATCCATGTGAACTTTGTTTCATGTTCGCCCAGCTAAAAAGATGAGTAAATTTAAGAAAACTACAACTATAGCATAAAAACGATCTACAATGATAACATGGAAATTTTTCACAATACTGCATGGGAAATTATTACAAAACTACAACTTTTATGTCATATGTTGCTACAAAACATCTAGGTGACAACAATAAGTTTGGGCTATGTAAAAGTTACAGTTTTATGAAAATTTCCTATTATATTATTGTAGCAAACTGAAATAGGTCGCTAATGTTGCAGTAAACTAGTAGTTTTGTCAATGTAAATGCGGTTTTCTGAAATTTACTCAAAAAGAAAGATCTTCGTGTATGAACTGTGGCGCTCTATTTGCCCCGAATAATTCCAAACAGGGACTCTGTAAGGACTAAGATTTGCCATGTGCATGCTCAATGTTTAAGTTGCAGTGTAGTCTTACTACATGTTCCACAATGCTTGATGATCATACAGACTTTAAGGTGGACCCCATATGTTGATAGAAAAAAATATTTAATCATTTGTTTATATTATAATTTAGTATATAGAAGTATAAATTAAGATTGTAGATTCTTTAATCTCTACTATTATAAAAATTGAAGATGTTTTTGCCGGTGTTTTGATACGTCATCCGTGTATGAGTCGGTTTTTAAGTTCGTTTGTTTTTGTAAATACATATCCGTATTTGAGTCGGTTTTTAAGATCGTTCACTTTTGGTAATACAAAAAGAATCATATAAGAAATCTGTTTAAAAAAAACTCACATGCTAACTTGAGACGATCGGACTCCTAACTGCAGCTCATGATTTTATATATATATATATATATATATATATATATATATATATATATATATATATATATATATCCAAGCGAACTCCCACAGTGAATTTCATTTTAACTAAACCATACAACAATAATAAGATTAAAATAGACTTCACCCGTTGCAACGCACGGGCATTTTTTCTAGTGATAAAAAAGTCATTAAAATAAAATGATATTTATGTATTTTTTTAATATCTGATATTATAAAAATTGAAGATGTTTCCGCGATCTGTCATCCGTGTTTGAGTCGGTTATAAAAATTGAAGGTGTTTTCGTGGTTCGTTATATGTGTTTGAGTCAGTTTTAATTTTATGTTTTGGTTTTAATCTATATCTCTTCTCTTCTATATCTCTATCTCTTCTCTACTATTATAAAAATTGAAGTTGTTTTTGTCGTATTTTGGTACGTCATCTGTGTATAAGTCAGTTTTTAAGTTTGCTTGCTTTTGAAAATAGAAAAGGAAGCTTACAATAATTCTGCAAGCATACGGCATACTGCTCCGCGTGGAACAAATGAAGGAAACACACACACAACAGAACATAAGCAAGAACAAGCAAATCATGGGCGAATCACACATACTTACGATGGAGTTTGCACACACACAAGCTAGCAGTACCAGGAATCAGTGACAAATGGATGGAAAGATGGAGAAGAATGCAGACTTCTTATTAGCTTTGTTCCTTCCCTTCTTTTGCTTCGGTACGTCATCCATGTATGAGTCGGTTTTCAAGTTTGTTTGTTTTTGAAAATATATATCTGTATTTGAGTAGGGTTTTTAAGATCGTTCACTTTTGGTAATACAGAAAGAATTATATAAGAAATCTGTTTAAAAAAAACTCGCATGCTAACTTGAGATAATTGGACTGCAGCTTATAATTTTCTAAAAATATATATATCCAAACAAACTCCCGCAGTGACTTCACCCGTTGCAATGCACGAGTATTTTTTTCTAGTAAGATAAATGGTTAAACCTTATATGTGAAACCAGAGAAAATATATGGCACCAACCTATAAATCCTAAGTCGTCAAGTATTGGTTAAAATAGAGGTCCCAAGTCGTCTAAAGGTCAGCAAAAATATGGGCAAGGAGGTTGTAGTTTCTAATGAAGTCGATTTTGAACATCGTTCTTAAGTCTTACTTACGAACGAGATACCTTATTTATATTTTGTTTCATCTTTCTTATAGTATTTTGGTATATGTAGCCTACGACGAATCGACGATTCTTTGCTTAAAAACAGCTTTGCCGAACCAAAGCAGTAAAGCACAAACTATGTTTTCGACTCTGCTTCTTTTATTATTACTTTTTATTTTATTTTTTTTAAAAAAAGAAACTCCGTTCCTTCTAAACCCATCGAGACTTTGATATTTTCCTCCGCTAGCTTTCCGCCCTTCGCCCCCTTCCCCCGCCGCAAGAATAATCGGGAGGAGAAACCCAAACCCCCCTCCTCCTCGGCGGCGGCGGCGGGCGGCGGCGCGAGCACATGGCGGCCACCTCCATCGTGCGATCGAAGCGCAGGCTCGCCCTGCCCTACCTCCACCGCCTCCTCCACTCCGGCCCCGCGACCCCTTCCCCCAACCGCTTCCTCCGCCACGCCTCGCCGGTGCCCCGCGACCCCGACCACTCCCCCTTCCTCCGCCTCCCCGACGCGCGCGTCTCCACGCTCCCCACGGGCCTCCGCATCGTCACGCAGGCCTACCCGGCCGCCACGCGGATGGCCTCCGTCGGCGTCTGGGTCGACGCCGGCAGCCGGTTCGAGCTGCCCGGCACCAACGGCACGGCGCACTTCCTCGAGCACATGGCCTTCAAGGGCACCACGCGCCGGCCCACCGCGAACGCGCTCGAGGTGGAGATCGAGAACATGGGCGCGCGCCTCAACGCCTACACCTCCCGCGAGCAGACCACCTACTTCGCCGATGTGCAGGGGCGGGACGTGCCCATCGCGCTCGACGTCCTAAGCGATATCCTCCAGTACCCGTGCTTCCCCGCGAATGCCCTCCAGCGCGAGCGCGGCGTCATCCTCCGCGAGATGGAGGAGGTGAGCTGTCGCACCCTTTTGCTGCTTTGTCCCCTTCCTTGCCGTCTAATGCAATTCCTTAATTTAATAGTCGATGTGAAACTTGATATCCTTGTCGCACGAGTGTAGAACACCCTTATTTGTAGGTGGCAAATGTTTTTCTTCTGCATTTTTGGTATTGTTCTCGGCTATTGCAGCAAAGGAAGTGCATTTGGTTTGGATAGTGACCGTAACTCTCAGGTTGCACGTTATGGGTATGGATGATTGTATATTTCACTATTTCAGCATTGTTTTACAGTGTACATGTAGAGGCTGGTGTCTTTAGGCACAATGGATTTTTTTTTCCTTAAAGAAAATATGTTTCCTGCTCTGATAGTGTGATGGTTGGTATTGTTTATATTAGCCTTGTGGTGTTGGCCAAGATGATAAGTATGCTTGAACACTGATTGTCTGAATGTAGCGGTTCCTAGTTTTTAAATAACTTCCTGAATGCATACTGTGGTTTAGTGCAATTAGCTTATCAAATCCATGCTCGATCCCGTGCAATTAGCTTATCAGATCTAATATACAATATATATATTGTGTTTCGTGGATGCTTGATCTGTGCTTACATGTGTTTATGGTTAGACAGGTGCAAGGAATGATGGACGAGGTGATATTTGATCACTTGCATGCCGCAGCATTCCAAGGTCATCCGCTGGGTGACACAATATTAGGTCCTGTAGAGAATATTAAATCGATCTCTAAGAAAGATTTGGAGCAATACATTACAACTCACTATACCTGTCCTCGAATGGTACTTGTCAGCCAGTTCTGAAATTTACAGGCATTGATTTGTTATCACCGAGCATTCTAGTGCTGAATGTTTTATTTTGCCTGGTTGGTTTAGGTTGTGTCTGCTGCTGGAGCTGTCAATCATGATGAGGTTGTTGATCAAGTGAGAGAATTTTTTACAGGATTCTCTACTGACCCAACTACTGTAGATCAACTTGTTGAAGCAAATCCAGCTATTTTTACTGGATCTGAGGTCCATTTTCAGCTGTCAAGATGTTATTAGTCATTTTTAGCCTTTTTGGATTGATTTTATCTTTTGGACTTATTCCCTACTTTTCTATATCATCCTTAGGTCCGTGTGGAGCAACCAGAGATGCCTCTAACGCACTTTGCAATTGCTTTCAAGGGTTCATCATGGGCTAACCCTAGCTCAATTCCTCTTATGGTGATCCAAAGCATATTGGGAACTTGGAATAGGAGCATTGGGGTTGGGAACTGCTCAGGGTGAGATGATTTGCATTGATTGATTATGCTTAGTTGACCAACAATTTTCTTGCCTTGTTGTGTTGTTGCTAATCTGCTGCATAAGGCTCATATGATCTATTGGAACTGCAAGGTCTGCTTTAGCTCGTGGTATCAGCAACGGTAATTTAGCTGAGAGCATGATTGCATTCAACACTAACTACCGAGATACAGGATTGTTTGGCATCTGCACTATTGCTCAGGTAAATTTGGTTTATCAATCTTTTAAATTGTTCAGCTAGCTGGAACATTAAATTAGTTTTAGTAAAGTATGCTACATTTTCCTTACTTCTTGATGCCAATCAGTAATAATACTAGCTATGTTCACTATTAATTTCACATACATTATAAAAAAACTGAGGTATGCATTGGATCAAAAATTCCCTTTTATAATGTTTTCTTACATTTTGTGAAATATGATTGCAGCCGGATTCCCTATATGACCTATCACAGTTAATAATGCAAGAATTTAGAAGACTTGCATTTGAAGTGTCGGAAACAGAGGTTGCTCGTGCTCGTAATCAGGTTGCTTATCCATCTCAAGTTGCTAATTCAGAGTTTTTACCCATTGAGTCATTTCTACTGTGAATTTGTGGTGTTAGACAACATTTTTCTAGAAGGCAAATCAGACAGTAGATTCTCCTACATTATTAGTAGGCAAAATTTTGCCTTTTTAATATTCCTAGGCTCTTTCCTTTTTGTTTTGTCAATAACTCATCTTCATTTTCACTAGACAATACCATGATATCTGCTATGCTCATGTTGCTCTGATGTAGGACAATAGCAAGAAAGTTGATTTCAACCTGATGATCAGTCGTTGTAACTTCACTAGACCTGTTTCACTTTCCCTTAAATGACACTGATAGTTTGTGGTTAGTTTTATATTTATATGTATGATATGTCTTTATGCAGTACCAGTAATCATTAAGTACGAACTCTGCATAGTTTCATGGCTGATACATGTTTTTTTATAATATATGCCAATTAACTTGCATCTAGAAATATTTGTTATACTAATTGTGAAGTGGTGAATTATTTCCTACATTTTAGCACCAACCTAAAAGTCAGTTCTGGTGCCTTGGTAGCTTTTCTGTTTTATCTTTCTTGGCCTGCCTGTAAGCTATGTATTGTATCTGTTAAGGAGAACTGCATTCAGTGAAGTGGATGGATAACAGCTAACATTTATTTAATTTCAGTTGAAATCTGCTCTTTTACTTCACATTGACGGATCCACTGCTGTTTCTGAAAATAACGGCCGTCAGGTATGGTGAATGAAATATTTTCTTAAGTGCCCATGTTGCAGTTGCTACTATTTTTCCTAACTATGTATATTCCCTCGACCATCTGGATCAGATGCTAACGTATGGGCGAGTAATGCCATTCTTAGAGCTTTTTGCTCGCATTGATGCTGTTGACCGTGATACAGTAATGGAAACAGCTAAGGATTTCATAATTGACAAGGTAAAACTCGGCATCTTCCTAGTAATAATCTGGAGTGCATCTTTGCTATTGCTGTCTCAACAAGCTATACGGAAGATTCATGCACTCACATGACTTGTTTGACAATCTTCAGGATATCGCCCTAGCTGCAGTGGGACCGCTCACGAATTTGCCGGAGCTTAGTTGGTTTCGCTCACATACATACTCGGATGATGAATTTAGTTCAAGAACGTTCTTGCAGGATGCACAGAATAATTGAAGCTCCGGTCCTGGTAGTGTTGTTGTAGTAACTCAAGCTCACCCAAGAAATATTCGATCGTAGGAAGCATCAAGCATTTTAGTTATTTGTTAGATGTTCTCTATTTATTTGCAAATAACTCCCTTCGTTCGGATTGTAAACTCCTTCCGTTCACCTTTTACTTTCTTAGCATACAATTGCGTCAAAATTCTAAATATAAAAAAGAAAAGAAACTTGACATAACCAAAAGGCCAGACAAAAGAGGTACAGCTGAACACAACACATTTAAGTACACCTGCAGTGTTAACTAAAAAATGTTCTGTTCTCTCTCGACCTAAAATAAACCAATTTTATATAAATATGTTGAGATTCATTTATAGTTTATTTTAGAATAGAGAGTAGCATTTATTTTGTTGATTGGTTTATTTTAGAATAAAAGGAGTAGCAATGTGGCATTCATTTTTGCTGATGTGGACGAGAGAGAGAGAGAGAGAGAAGAGAGAAGAGAGAAGAGATTGAAAAAAAAATTACGCTGTTGGTTGTTTAATATCTATTCTTGAAACCTAAATTGCAACTTCGTTTTTCCACATCATTAGAAAAATATGGATCATAGGAGGCAACAAAACATATAATACCTGCCGTTAGATATAAAGAAGGCAGTAAAACTATAAAGGAGTGGTCAAAGTTGATTCTTCCACATATCCTCTTGGATATTTACTGGGCCATCGTTGTCTGAAAGCCCTAACCCACATATTCGTTTTCCAACTAAAAACGTATTTTAGCGCTAAATTAAAGTACGATATAACAAATATTACACACAACAATGCCGCACATTGTGAAAATACATGTATTCTAGTGACTTGAGTAGCACCTGAAGATCTTGAGTTCAAACCTTTATAGGAAGTTCAAATCTTCAAAGGAGTGAATTTCATATTGGGTTGTTCCATGAGCTAAGTTCCTACATTGTAGAGACCGGGTTAGGAATGCATAAGGGTAACTTACGCAATTGCAATGTAATAACTTATACTTCCTCCATACTTATAAAGGAAGTTGTTTAGGACAATGTTTAAGTCAAACTTTGGGAATATAAATCATGAATAACTCTTAAATTGTTGAGTTTGAATATGTAAAAATTATATGAATAGATTTGTCTTGAAAAATACTTTCATAAAAGTACACATATATCACTTCTCAATAAATAATTTTATAGAAACAAGAAGTCAAAGTTGTGTTTTGGAGACCGTGTCGCTGCCCAAAACGACTTCCTTTATGAGTACGGAGGGAGTACAAAACTTTCACATAATTATAAAAAATGCATAAGGGTACATGTGATTAGTGAGGCATGTGAATGGGACGTCGGGGGTTCAATTCCCATGCGCGCACGGTAAATTTTACTCCTCCCGCACTTCCTCTTGACAAATATTTAGCAACTATATAAATTTAATTGGTTTTTTTACTTTAAAATGTGAATGAAAAGTTTGCATTAAATTACCTTAAGTGATTTTTTTGTCATAATAATATTGTTTATTACATATCAAAATAAATATACTTTTGGAAAAGTGCCGGTATTGTGGTGGTGGGATGCATGACTCCAGTTACTACTACTAATCAAATCTTGGTACCATGACCATGAATATTACACACATATGGATACGAGTACACTTTGAATTGAAACCACCTCTTTAAGTGTATCTTAAGGGTGTGTGAATATAGAGCAGTGATATGTGCTCACACGTGTTTTTCATGTAATAATAAAGAGAATAGATTTTTCATTCTATCTAGACTTCCTGCTGATTTTATTTTCTACCATTGACTTTCCGTCTTTCCTTAGCCATGTTCTTTGTTTACATTGTTATTTTTTATTATAAATTTTGTCTAATAATTATTATATAGGTAAACATTTATATATTTAATAAAGTGATATTCTATCCATAAAAAAATGTCAACCGCGTACTATGTCCAGATTCGTTGTACTATGTTACCTTTTTTTAAGAACGGAGCGAGTAGTCATAGTCGCGTGAAATGCATGATATAATGTACTAGTATTGTATATTGAATATTAAGCTATTTCTCTCTCTACAGGTTTATGGGAATGGTATCTGTCTAAGGGCCCCTTTGAATCGTAGAATGAAAAAAACGGAGGAATAGGAAAAACATAGGATTCTAATAGGAATGTAAATGTAAAACAGATGATTGCAAAACATAGGAATGATCGTTTGATTGGACCACAGGAAAAACACAGGAATCGGATGAGAGAGATATACTCAAAGAATTTTTACCAAGAGGTTGGACCTCTCGCTAAGTTTCCTTTAAAACCTATATGCAACAAGCCATTCCATAGGAATTTTGTAGGATTTGAAAAACTCAAATCCTTTAAATCAAAGGGCTACATAGTAAAATTTCCTGTAGCATTTCAATCCTATGAAATTCCTTTATAATTCCTTTGACTGAAGGGCCCTTAATATTTGTGCATGCCCTGAAGGCTGAAGCTGCTGCTCACTGCAGGAAGCCAGGAAGGCCCCCAGCTGAAGGCCAGACCAATGAGACCAGTGAGCCAACATATGGTGACAGAAAAAAATTACTCCTTTTCCCCAAGTAAATTAAATATACATGGGGCAGAGGCGCAGAGCCATGCAGCAGCAGCATCGCCCGGCCGCCCGGCCATGTTCTGCTCGCTCGTTCAGACTGACGCTCGGATAAGCAAAACAAGCACCGATCACCCACACCCATCTCCCGGCCATTTCTGCTCGCTCTCTCAGATACTACACGCAAAACAAGCACCAATAACCCAGTAGGAAACAGGGTTTACGTTACTGTCTCGCGTCGTTTCTACGGTTACCAGCTTACTACGGGTACGATAATATAAATACTACGGTAACCTCCTTAAATTCAAATAAATTAAAAAAATAATTTAAATTTTTAATAAATTTTATACGGTTTTTCATGGTTACCGCGGTTAACACGTGGTAACCGTACTTACCGTCGGGACGCGGTAACCCCGGTCCCGGCGGTTTGGGAAACCTGACTAGGAAACGCTGAAGAATTAGGTTTGCTTCGTTGCTGCAATTAATGGCAGAAAAGACACGAGCGCTACCGGCTTTAAGCAGAACCATCCGTACGCGACTCCGGTGAAGGAAACTGTGAATGCGTGAAATCCTTTGGCTCCCGTGAAAACCAAGCACGGGCCGGTGCGCACGGGTGCGCAAATGGGCTCACGCCGCACGCGACGCGCTCCGTCTCCTCTCCCCTCTCCCGCAGTCTCTTCCCCACGCAGCCACGCGCGCGCCCATTAATCGCTCACGCACTTGCACGTTGCACCATCAACTCCTCTGCTCCCAGCTTCCTTGCTGGATACACGAACAAAGTCCCGTTTGCTTCTGGGTAGAACACAACAATGGCGCTGCGTTCTTCTGCTGCATACTACTACATGAACTAATTTGCTTCTCCCTTACGTTCCGTTTGCATCATCTGCCTTGCACACACGCACGCACTACAAAATGGCGTTGCGCGTGCTCTTCTTGATGCTGTCGGCGTTCCCCGCGAGCTGCCTCGCCGTCGCTGCTCCGATCAGTCCCGACGCCGTGCCATTGCTCGCCTTCAAGTCGGCGTGCGCCGACCCTGCCGCCGCGCTCGTCTCCTGGACGGAGGCCTCCGACCCCTGCTCCGACAGGTGGCGTGGCATCACTTGCCGGAAGCCTTCGCCTTCGCCGCCGCCGTCGTCACCTCCTCGCGTCCGTCGCGTTGTTCTCGAAGGCCTCCGCCTCGGCGGGGATGCTGGAGCCGTCGCCGCGCTCGCTGGCCTCCCTATGCTCTCGTTCCTTAGCCTCAAGAACAACTCGTTTACGGGCTCTCTCGGTGACGTCGACTTCTCCACCTTGGCGCCGCACCTCAAGCTCCTCTATCTCTCCGGCAATGGCTTCTCCGGGCGGTTTCCGGAGTCCGTGCTACGGCTTCGCCATCTGCGCCGTCTCGACCTCTCTGGCAATCGGCTTACCTGCACGATTCCGCCGGAGATAGGACACCGGCTCCCTTCTCTCCTGACGCTGCATCTTGCGCGCAACTCGCTCGTCGGGCCCTTGCCGGCCTCGCTGGGAGCAATGGCCAGGCTTGCCAAGCTCAACGTCTCCGGTAACCACCTCCAGGGCCGGATCCCCAAGCGCCTCGCCGCCGTCTTCCCCGCGTCTTCGTTCACCGGCAACCCCGAACTTTGCGGTGCCCCTCTGCGCCGCCGGTGCAATGAGCAGCTCCACATGGTGTACGGCGGCGGCGGCAGCGGCGCTGACACGTCACACCAACCGAAGAGAGGGAGGAGGAGGAGCAATGACCGGTGGATGGTGGCGATGATCATGGCGGCGGTGGGCGCAGCAGTGGCATCGCTGGTCGCCGCGGCACTCTGCGGCGTACTGTGGCTGAAGAACAAGAAGCCGGAGAGGCCGCGCGCCAGCTCACGCACCAGCTCGATGGCGCGGGAGGAGACGGTGCGCTTCGACGGCTGCTGCGTGGAGTTCGACGTGTGCACGCTCATGCGGGGCGCCGCGGAGATGCTGGGCAAGGGCGCGACGGCGACGACGTACCGCGTGGCCATGGGAGGCGACAACGTCATCGTGGACGACGCCAGCGTCGTCGAGGAGGGCAAGGCTGGCGAGGTGGTGGTGGTGAAGAGGATGCGGCGGAGGGAAGGCGCGACCCGGGAGGACGAGCGGCGGAAGCGGAAGCTCGCGCGGGAGATGGGCACGTGGCGGCACGCCAACGTCGTCAGCCTTCGCGCCTTCTACGCGTCGGCAGACGAGCTCCTCCTCGTCTTCGACTACGTCCCCAATGGCAGCCTCCACAGCCTCCTCCATGGTCCGTAACCCTCTCTCTCCTGACTCCTCTCATGGCTTCTTCTCATCAATGTCTACATGATGACGATGGCAACGGATTCTTTCAGAGAACCGAGGACCGGCGCGTGTTCCACTGGAGTGGCAGACGAGGCTGAAGCTGGCGCAGGACGCGGCGCAGGGGCTCGCGTACCTCCACGGCGTGTCCGGCGGCAAGCTCGCCCACCGGCACCTCACCTCCTCCAACATCCTCGTCGACGCCGGCGGCAACGCGCGCGTCTCCGACTTCGCCCTGCTGCAGCTGCTCGTCCCGGCCCCGGCGGCGGACGAGGCCGCGCAGAAGCAGGACGTGCACGCGTTCGGGGTCGTCCTGCTTGAGATCCTGACGGGGCGGTCGCCGGAGGACGGCAACGTGGACCTGGCGCTGTGGGCGCGCACGGTGGTGCGCGAGGAGTGGACCTCGGAGGTGTTCGACGTGGAGCTGCTGCCGAGCAGGGGCGGCGCGGAGGACGAGATGGTGGCGCTCCTCCATGTGGCGCTGCTGTGCGTCGCCGACGACCCCGGCGAGCGGCCGAGGATGGCGGTGGTGGCCAAGATGATCGAGGACATCAGGGACAGGGGGAGCAAGAGGAGCAGGTACTCGGCGTCGCCGTCGCAGGTTGGCCACTCCTACGAGTCATCCCCTTCCATCTCGGAGGACACCACTAGGTCCACCAATGCCTCAAGCTCTTGAAGCTGTGGTGACAGTTTCCAGCTTTCCTTCCCAAAAAATCCAATGGATGTTGTTAACAAGAGGTGCTGCCGTTTAGATGTTAGTTTTCTGCCATCATGATTCTGTGGCATGTGACATGTCAGGTACCTGTGATCAATGGAAATTATCAACTCCTTTTGTTTTCTGTCCAACGAACGTAGACAGGGCCAAGTTTGTATTACAATTCAAACATGCAGGGAATAAGTTCCCTTTAGGTCCATGAATTTGTTGCCAAGTTTGAAATTCATCCTGAACTATAATAACAGATATAACGTGTCCCTCAATTTACAAAACCGGTGTACTCGAGATCCCAGACGGAATAATGTCCAGTTTCAGTTGATGTGGTGGCTGAGTTAGCAGGGACCCACATGTCAGGACAATTCAATCTATTTTTTAAAAAAAATTGGTGGACCTCACATGCCAGTAACACATCATCTCCTTCTTCTCTCGGTTTCTCTCCCTTTTTCTTGGCGGGAGCAGGGCGTAGACGACGAGGCAGTAGGCACTGCATGCAGTGCGCGAAGACACAAGGTGTGGGCGGCAGCGACCGGCAGTGGCACGAAGGAGGAAGTCAGCGTTAGTGGTGGAGGTCGTCATCGCCCAATGAGCCCATGGCCACCGCGTGCGCGTGCACCCGCCTACCCCTCCAAAACGGCCCTCTTGGCGGCAACGAGGTCAAGGACCTAGCCGAAGTGCTCTGTAGGAGAGGCCTGCCCCGGTGCCGAGCGAGTGGCGAGTAGGCGGAGGACCTCCTGCAAGTTACTTTCCTTGCAATGCTACCTTAGGGAGGGCCCGATGTTGGCAGGTGGGAGCTTCCAATGAGGGATTGGATGGAAGGGGAACACCTTGTTGGCTCTCAAAGGCGAGCACCCAGTCGTGGTGGAACAACAACATCCATCATCGGAGTGCATCCGACCACCACCGACGACTGAATCTGAGCAGCTGGAGTCGGCCCTTGTTGCTCGAGGAGTCGCGACAAAAGAGCAGCAGAGAGGGCATCATCATTCCGAGCATGTGTCACAATAAGGTCATCATAGGGACCCTCAATGCTAGGATCCCCCTGCCCCTCCACTAGAAAGGGATCTCTCTCGTGATGAACCATGTCAGCTGCAGCCGTCATCCAAACCGCTTTAAGACCTTATTTATACCGGTTTTGGAAGTTTAGAAACATGTTATATGTGGTATTGCGGTTCAGGGACAATTTTAGGACTCGACGACAAACAGAGAGACCTAAAGTGAACTTGTTCTATTCAGCCTTCTTCTACGGTCCATTTGGCCGCTCCGAGTGGTGCGTCAAAGAGAGACGATTTTTTTTCATTTTTAATTTTTTTAATATTTACAAAAATATTATATCGGTGAAAATATTTGCAAAAATATACCCTGCCACCCAAGTGGAGGGCAGCAAGGTGATGTGGCACGCGACGCTGTTTGTGCATTTTGCACGGAGGTCTCTCGGTGAAATGCAATTTTCGCCGTATGTAAAGTTAAGCCCTCCGTGACCGGCGAAGAAAAGTTGTCCGTTGAATACTTGAATGCCTTCGGCGAAATGGTCACCTACGTCTCGCTCCCACTCCCAGACTCGAGTAGTCTGGATGAACTGCCAATCCGCGCGGCGCGTCTGTGCATTAGCGAAGACAGGAGTGGCAAACTGGAAGCGCGTGCGCGCGAGCGATTCGTCCAGAGTATCAGTTTCAACCCCGGCCCAAAAGTTTATTAGCTGCGTCGCTCAGGGCCATGCGCGGCAGGGCTGTGAGGGAGAGAGACGTGACGAGAAGCCCGGATCCGCCTGGCACGTTTTGGGCCCGAAATTTCCCCTGCCTCACACTCGTATGTCAGTCACACACTCACACCACACACCTGCCGGGGTCCGGTGTGACACAGGCGCACGTCCAGCCAGGCTTATCCTCCTCACGGTGGCAACCAAACAGCCTCAGAATCCCTGCAACGATTGTGATTTATGAACTTGCGTTTTCATAGCTCGACCGCCTTGTAATTTGTTGGCCACTCGAGCTCAAGTTAGATCACCAACTATGGCCAGTTGCATGCGTAACCGTGTAGCGAGCAGATCCAGCGGAGAAGAAGAGAGAATATATGTCTCAAGATGCTGATCATGTTGCAACAAAAATTTCAGCTTAATTTCTTATGATCGGTTCGATTTGTAATATGTGAGTATTTTTCAGTTGTTCCTATATCGATCACTTGTTCATCCAGTAGCTGCAGACTGCAAGTTCTGATGAACTCGATGCATTTATGCATGTATGAGAATATTCTGTCCCCCAGCGTGGAATAGGATTCACTCGCATTGATCATTAATTTGATCCACATCTTTGACGATTAGACCTTACTGAGTACCTGAAGATACGTATGTGATAGTTGAGCTAATGATATTTGACACATGGAACTCAATAGAAAATACTTGAACCTGAAAATTCCTTTTTGGCACGATAAGACTCCAGGAAAATCTAGCCAAATATTTGTGTAGGTTCTACAGATGCTAAACGAAGAAAAATCTTCCCACGAAGTATGGTTACCATACATGTTGTTTTCATCTCGTCCATAATTATCTGGGGCCAAGCACTATTTTTCCCCCTTCCTCGTTTTTATTGAGAATCATATCACTCCACTTGGTTAGTGCAATCTTTTCCTGTTATTATGTGATTTTCTTTAGTTTTTTTGTGTGCCATGGCTTCTCGCTTTGTGACACCACTAGGTACAGTGGACTGGGCAAAGTTGTTTGTTTGTTCCATAAATAACTTTGTGGAAGCACTTGATACTCTCAGTCCCACTGACCATATTGTTTATTTGTTTGTTTGTTCCATTAACAAATGGACATGCTATGTGCACAAACCACTTGCATTGCGTAGTACATGGTCTCTGCAGATACAAGGATGGACAACGGGGAGTCGGGGACCATGAAATGAAACTAGGTTATAATGTATATTTAGTTTTAGTTGAAAAAATAGTTCCTCAAGTGGTGTCTAGATACATTTTTAAAAAATACATAAAAAAATTCATAGGATATGTTCAATATATAATATCCCATACTCACTCCGTCCTAAAAAAAAAAAGTGAATCTATTACTGGATGTGACATACTCCCTCCGTCCCAAAAAAAGACAAACCCTGGGTTTCCGTGTCCAACTTTGACTGTCCGTCTTGTATGAAATTTTTTTATAATTCGTATTTTCATTGTTGTTAGATGATAAAACATGATTAATATTTTATGCGTGACTTGTCTTTTTAATTTTTTTCATAATTTTTTCAAATAAGACGGACGGTCAAACATTGGGCACGGAATCCAGGGTTTGTCTTTTTTTGGAACGGAGGGAGTATTATAGTACAATGAATCTGGACATACCTCCGTCCAGATTCGTAGTACTAGGATATGTCACATCCAGTACTGTGTTGGTTTTTTATGGGACGGAGGGAGTAGGTCATAAAGCAGTTGCTGCAATGAATTAGGTATATAGTACTCCCTCCATTCCATAATATAAGGTGCATATGCATTTGAAGATTCAACCTTTAAACATTTGACCAACACTTAGTATAATATGAAATAAACTTTATTTGTTAAAAATTATATCATTAAATTGAGATTTAAATTTACTTTTATATGGTTATAATTGTATTGCTAAAAACCTTATAGTATATGAGAAATTATAAGCTAAAGATTAGTTTTGAAGACCGTGCCAATTTTGACCATGTCTTATATTATAGGATAGAGGGAGTAAGAGAAGACATTAGCTTTAGTCCCACTCAATTAGGAACCAATGAAGCAATGAGGGAGGGGGGCGAGAGAGAGAGAGAAATTATCATTATTTATTTCTTAAAGCCAAGTTTTATGTATATGAATAGCTTATCATATAGACTATTATATGATCACTTTTATAATGATGAGGCATGCCATATTGAGTTATATGGATAACTTTTTATAGATATTGTGGATGCCCTTATATTTTAAAATGGACGAAATATTTTATATTGGAAGGAATCACACAACTATATTACACAACATTCCTGATGAAAAAGGTTTAAAAATGGAGGACTTTTACGGTATATTGTACTGCAAGTATATACTAGCAGTATATAGAAGGGTATGTTTGGTATTTGTTAAACAACTGGAAATGGCTATTTAGTCATGTGAAGTTCAAATTAATTTATTTCAATCGGAAGTACTTGTCATGGATCTTGTCGTCCGTGCATTTGGTAGCGTTTGTTCTGGAGACATCTCGTGTGGCGACGGCTCGATCGATGTCTAAATTACTTATGTTTGGTGTACATGATCCCGATATGTAGAAATAATGGTGCTTTCCGGTCATAATGCAAGGTTAATTCAGTCATGAAAAATAACTAACGGTTGATCACTTGACTGTGGGAATATCATCTCATCATAATTACTGAGATAGCCATAATTTTTTTGCCAGATATATCCAGTTGGTTCTCAGTATCTACTATGTTGATTACTTCAAAATTTCTCATTCAATAATTAGTTCATGACGGGATGATTTGCCAGTTCTAATCCTGCATGGAGAGACGGCGAGTTGGGCTTGCCTCCTCCTACTGCCTGCCCATCCTGGCTGTGTGCCTTGCCCGGTTGCCCCTGGTATATGCTGCCGCCGCCCGGATGCCCTACACTGTTGCTGCTGCTTCTTAGGTGCGCGGGAATGACAGAAGAGAAGGAAAGGACAGGAAATCGAATCAATCCCGGCTTGCGGTGGCCCGGGGCGCAGCGTGCTCACGGTGGCTGGCGGCGGCGGCGGTAGCCCATGTGGTGAAGGAAGGGGAATGGAGCGGATTTCTCTCGATTCGCCATTTCTTTCGAACGACAAATCGACTGGATTTCTCTCGATCGGGATCTGACCAAGTAACAAAAACGCGAAAAATACAAAAATACCCCCACACAGAAAGATGAAAAGACAAATATACCCCTTTTGAATTTATATTGCAAAGCTAACCGGGTGGAATATCAGATTAATCTTCACCGTTAGATCGTTTATACTGCTAGTATATACTTGTAGTATAATGTACCGTAAAATTCCTCTTGAAAATGATCCACCCAACAATTGCCACGCTAGACAATTATGAGCCTACTAGAAAAAAGTTACTAAACAATGCCACAAATCATAGCTCAAATTCTACACGAATATGAAAAAAAAATTTGAATTTGGTTGTGCTTTTTCTAGGGCACCTGCGAGGCAAGTATTTTTAGGTGAGAAACATAAAAGTACTTAAGCAAATGCCAAACAGTTACTGTGCTAGCTATAAT